TATTAAATACTTATTTAAATTATAATAGATATTTAAATTATATTTTATAGTCTAAGTTTTATAATTTTATATTTATAAATATATATAGATAGCACCACCACTGGATCGGATCCAGTCGGCGGCCACCTCGGCAGCGACGCCACCAGTATCACGACAGGCCCGAGTCGCGGCGCGGGCGAGGCGCAGGAAGTCCTAGTGTTCTAGGACCGCCCCCGGCTCAAGGCTAGGGTGCTCTAGCAGCCAGGCCTAGAGGGCGGTAGCGGCGGCGGCGACAGGGGGCATAACCTAAAAGGATTAGTAGCGGGGGCGACGTAGGAAAGGGCTAGACTCACAGTAGGGCACTACACATAGAGTTAAGCACACTTAGTATAAATATAACCCTCACTTATTAAAGTTAGTAGAGTTAGGACTATATTAAGGATAGTATATACTAGTAGGCTAGAAGTAAGTAACTACACTAGTAGTCTTAGTATAGGTAATATAGTAGCTATAAGGGGTCTTATAGGGCTTACCTTACTTTAGCTTTAGTTTAGCCTTATATAGGGCTAATATAGACTTAGTACTATTAATAAGAGTAATATATTTATAAGACTATAATAGTAAAAAGATAAACTAAGACTAAGATAGAGTAGACTTACTATAATAGGAGAAGTTATTAAGTATTATATAACTACTAAGGGGTTAGGACTAAGTCTAGTCTAAAGGTAAAGGGGGGAAGGTACTTATATTCTTTATAAGTATAGAAATAAAGGGCTTTTTATAAATAATTAGCTTTATATAGGATAGGGGTAGACTAAAGATAGTAAGGGGAAGGAGAAATAGGGGTAGATAAGGAGAAATAGGGGTAGATAAGGATAAAATAGTATAGTAATAAGGGTGAATATATAAAATTAAAGAGGCTAAAGAAGGGAGAGGAAAAAGAACTAGAAGATAAAAGTATTATAGTCTCTATATACTTACTAACTAATAATAAATTAACTAGATTAATTAGATTAGCTACTAGTAAAGAATAATAATAGTAAATTAACTACTAAGTTAACTAGTAAAAACTAAAATAAGACTATACTATTACTAAGGGGGTGGCTATAAGTATACTAAGGATAGGCCTTTATATAATATTTATACTAAAATATAATAACTAATAGGAGATATAATAAATAGTATAATTAATATAAATAATAAATACTTAAAGAACTATACTCTTATATAAACTAAAGATAATAAGTACCCTAAGTATAAGTTAGGCGCCTACTTACTTAAAGATATAAATAGTTATATTCTTTTATAGCCCCTATATAGAGATTATAAGCCCCCCCCCCCCCCCCCTAACTAAGAACCTATACTCTAAAATAAAAGTGACTAAGAACGCCTTAGCCTTAATATAGCCTATATAACTAAAGAAGGTAGTAATAATAAAGTAAAAGATATTAGAGAGGGGGGAGGAGAAGTAATAGAAGGGATAGGACTAAAAATAAAAACCTAGGGATTAAGAGAGGGGCCTACACTAGACCCTACTAGGAACTAATATAGGGCTAACTACTTATAGTAGAAGTAAAGGTTTTCCTCTAAGGACTCTAGTTTTTCTTTTATTATTAAACTTATAGAGGTACTAGATAGATAGACTAGTCTAATTAGTATAATATAATTAATTAATATATATAGATAATATAAAAGTATATAATTTATATATTTATATATTTATATAATAAAAGAATTCAAACTAATAAAATTAGTAATTAAGAAAAATAAACTTATATAAAGTATAATAGAAAAGAGTAAATAATATATATATATTTAAGTCTTTACTCTACTATATATATATAATACTATCTACTATACGGATATTATATCTTTAAATAGTCAACCCACCTACTTAATTACACACTATTACGTATCTAACTCCACACGAGGGGTGAACTGAGTTTTGGCCGCAACTCACCTATAGGCTGCCATACTGGTCCGCGCTGGAAGCTGCGGCTGGTCGAGGCGACCTCTTCTCCTTGCGATACTGGGGCTGAGAGAGAAACTCGTCCGCGTCCACGTACGTCCCGCCCCATCGATCCCACAGCGTCGTGTACTGCCCAAAGTTGAAGTTTGTGTTTTTGTGGTGCACCGTGTGAAACTGTGTGCTATCGTCGTCTGTCGAGGGCATAAGAATGATAATTAGCATGATAAGCGTTGCTGTCATCCGCAGGCAGAGCTTACGGAGCAGAAATGTCCACAGGTATGCCGCCAAAAAGGCCAGCAGCTGCATCGCGTCGGACATGGGCACCACGAAGCTGAACGCGTATATCGGCAGGCTCATGATCATGGCCTCGAGCGGATCAAACGCGAATGCCGAGAATGGCGTCGGCGTCATGTACCTATACACACACACTCAGCTGCTGAAGAACCGGGCAATGAAGGTGCATGCAGTCCTTACTGGTGATGCTTCTTGTGCATTAGCCGGAACAGCACGGGCGTGTGGAACAGCCGGTGCAGCCAGTACACGCACGTGTCGTTGAATGCCACGAACAGCACCACCTGCAGCGCCTCGTACCACGCCGGCGCCGCTCCGAGCGGGTAGATGCGGGCGCGCCCGGCGGCCTGCGCGAGCACGATGGGCGCGGTCAGCAGGCTCATGACCGTGATGGCGACGAGAGACCGGGATATCTCGCCGCGGACCTGGCCTGGCCGGAACTTGGGGTCGCGGGCGGCGGCGGCGGCGTCAAAGTTGAGGCGGTACAAGACGGCGCCGAGGACAAGGTAGGAGACGGTGGTCGAGAGCCTTGTGTCCGCTGTCAGTCAGTCATCTCCGTGTGGTTCGGGATCGAGGCACTCACCATAGATAGAGGAAGGCGTTGGTGAGTCTCCGAATGGAGTTGTCTGGTTGCCAGAATGATGAGTGTTGAATAGGGGAGCAGAAGCCTTGCAAGGTCGTCCTGGACAGCCCTGATGGCGACGACGGACCAGCATCGCGGCAGAGGGTATTTTCCAGCCCGGATCGTATAGCGCCATAGACTGGATGAAGAACGGCTTCTTCAAAGGGACCGAGAAATGTATCCATGGCGTGACGACAAGATGTTTGCCTCGTCCGTGCCGTGCTGCGTAGTTTCTTCACCAAGGGTCAGTGTCCAGCTGTTGGTGGGAGGAGGCCCGGCCTTGTCCTCGTCCTCTCCGCTGTCCAGGATTTCAGCCCAGAGATGGCGGCAAACCTGTCACATTTCGTATTTTCTTCAACAGCTGAGCAAAGACATGTCTTGCTGCCCGATTGTTGCGCCGGCGGGCGAGACATCATTCGGCCACTTGGTCGTACTGACGATGTCTGGGCAGCTGCCGAGACAGTGGCAATGAATTACCCTGTGTTTTATATTTATTCACTATCATTAATTATCCTACTATGTTTAATAAAAATAATTGACCTTGATTCTTCTATTTAATTCGTAGAATTCATGTGTATCTGCTACTGGTTAAAAAGAATCCTCTGATATCCGTAGCGTAGGAGAATTAATCAGCTATGATGCGACTCATAACAACCATCCTTTGCACTTGAAACCTCTGTTTGTCATACAATTCATCGATCAGCAACAACTTGAACAACTCAACCCTGCTTGGGATCCTTGCCGTCCCAAGACCAACATTGTCTCCTCACTAAGTGTACTTACCCAGCACCTGTGTTACACCACTGGCCGTTGGGTCTTGAGTCAATCGACGAATTGTTGCCTGGCATATCCCAGAACTACTTGTTTTTCCTTCCTCATCGTATCCAAGATTCACAGTGCTTCAATCAAGCGCAGCAGCCCGTCAGCATGTACGAGCCCCCCACCACAGGCCGGGCAGCCGTCATCCTCAACGAGGCTACCAGCTTCCTCCTCGTCACCACCTCTCCTCTGTTCTGCTTCTTCTGCCTCATCGCCTACTCCGACTTTGCCTCCTCTCTCTACACCGCCGCCGCCGAGCTCCTCTACCGCGGCCCCGTCACCTTCTTCTCCAGCTACCTCCCCCGGACCTCCGCGCGGGCGCTGGCTGGCTATGCCACCTGGATCCTGTTCCAAGCGCTCCTGTACCGCTTCTTACCGGGGCCGGTGCGTCTTGGACCGCGCACATGCGGCGGGCGACGGCTTCTGTATCGGCTGAACGGGCTCGCCGCGTGGGCCACCACTGTTGCCGCGGCCGTCCTCGCCGCGTACGGCGGCTACGTTGACCCGGCGGTGATCGCCAAGAACTGGGGAGAGCTATTCGTGGCCGCGTCCATGTACTGCGCATTGCTGGTTACCGTGTTTTATGTCAAGGCCCGCGCGTGGCCGGACAGCAGAGGGGAGACGCTCCTTACAGGTTCCGTGCTCTCAGAAAACTCTGGCCGAGTTGTGCCGCGCTGATCAGAATTTCGTTTTTGCAGGGCAGTTCTGGTACGACTTGTTCAACGGCGGAGAGCTGCATCCTCGGACAGGGCGGCTGTTTGACTGGAAGCACTTCAATGCCAGCCGGACCGGCGGCATTCTTCTCTGGACTCTCATGTGAGTCTCCCCAGCTCAGTGCCATGTATGGAGCATGCTGCTAATGCCGTAAAACAGTGATCTTTCTTTTGCGTCGTGGCAGTATGAATTGCACGACACCGTGACCAGCACCATGATCGCCGCCGTCGTGTTCCGGGCGATCGTCGTGGTCGACTTCTTCTGGTACGAGCACTGGTAAGCGCTCGCCGTCCTTGGTCTGATCATTCCACTGACATTAAGAAACGCTCACTTGTCCTGTCGTAGGTTTCTGGAGACCTTGGATGGCTGCCACGAACGCTTCTCCTTCTACAGCATCTACGGCTTCGCCGCCATGATGCCGCTGCTCTGGACGTTGCAGACGCAGTACCTCGCCCGGCACCCCTTCGAGCTGTCCCGGCCCGCCCTCGCCATCGCCTGCCTGCTCTTTGCCGCCGGCTTCCTCCTGAACCACGACGCCAACGGGCAGCGCACCCTGGCGCGGCGCCGGGCCGGCGTCCTCGAAATCTGGGGCCGGCCGGCACGCTGCGTCCGGGCGCAGTACGCCACCGCCGACGGCAAGCTTCATCACACCATTCTCCTCTGCTCGGGTACGTTGGATATAATCACCACGCCTTCCTCATCCAAGCCTGCTCCGCTAAATCAACTAAAATATACCCCAGGCTGGTGGGGGGTCGCTCGTCACGCGAATTACCTGGGGAGCGCCCTGTACACGCTCGGGGCCTGCACGGTCTGTGGGACGGGACGCGCGCTGCCCTACATGGAGGCCGTCTTGGTGCTCGGCACCGTGCTGCACCGCTGCTGGAGGGACGAGGCCAAGTGCAGGGTCAAGTACGGCAAGGCGTGGGACGAGTACTGCGCCCTAGTCCGGTGGCGGATGCTCCCGGGTATCTACTAGGACACGACTTCGGATGGCAGGGATAGGCCAGGGGGCAAGCTGCCCGACGAGCTCGACGGCGGGAAAGTGATAACTAGAAAGCAAGGCATGCGAGAGATCTGTAAGATGAATTTTCAGCCGTGAGTACATGCCATGATGCGATCCATGCTTGGCTTGTTGCTTGTTGGTTCCAATATTTAGTGAGTCTGTGGAAGACGCCATGTCTTACCTGCCCAACCATTAACTCACCGCCGCTTTAAGAAATACATGTTCGTATTTATAAATCATGTTTTTTATTCTGATGGAGCAACTAGGTCTTTGAACTTGTGAGGTCATAGGAAGCGCTATTTGTCAACCTGCACAGTGAGACGGTACGTGGCTCTGTGTTAGACCGTCTTAGACACTCTCTAGGTTTCCGTCCATTGTCTCGTTTTAAGCACTTCGTCACCTGCTAAAAACCTTCATATGTCTTGAATAGAACCGTGATTTGTCTTGAATAGAAACTGGCTGCATCCTTCGCGAAACCTTTTCCACTGGGAGGCCAGGAAAAAGAAAGTACCTCTTTATGCGACATACTTCCACTGTGAACGACGGGCCAGGCCAATATCACCCGACCTCAGGGCCAGCCACATGCCGTACAGCCCTCCCAACGGCCACGTCCGCGACCAAGCCGAAGCCCATTCCTTGCGCTGCCGACGCTCCTTGTTCACATCGATGCGCACCTTGTCGAACACCGAGGGCAGCGTCGAGGCGTGGTACTTGCTTCGAAGCGCCTGGTACCACGGCTGGTTGTACACCTGCCAGAATTCATCCTCTGAGTAGTATGTGTGCGCGTACAGCCACTTTCGGCCCCCGAGCTCGACAAGCTTGGCTTCCAGCTGCCTGTTCTTGGCCACAAACTCCTCGTACTCAAGCGGCCCCCAACCCCATACGCCGATATTCAGCATCGCCTGAGACACGACGCTGCCGCCATCTTTTGGGGTAGATTCGATCCCTGTGACTGGGTGGAACGTCGGTGTAGAAGCGCCGCGGAGGGGACACAGCCAAAGCGGCCAGATGCAAAGTTCATTGTCCACATGATTTATGAATTGCTCCGCCGTGTCGTAGGGCAGAGCTAAATCTTGGACCATGAATTGGTTGGAGACACCACTTGCGTGCAGTGCGTGGTACAGAGTTCGTGTATGGGAGAAGTCGTCCAGCAGCCACCTGAAAAAGGCGTTGAAGGGGATATACTTGAAGTAAGTATAGCCCTGCCTGCCAACCCAAAATCCAGCACGATCATAGCGGAAGAGATACTCCCCGATAGGAATATACTCAACGCAAACACACCCGGAGGCTAGCCCCTTCGTCCTCTCTTCTACGTGCATGTAGAACCACGGGTCGTCGGCTTTGCTGAAAGTTCGCAGCATACAATTATCGGGCAGCTGGTTTGTCATTTCGCCCGTGACAATGACGCCGTGATTCTTGGAGAACAGAATTCCATCCAAGTAGTCTGTTGTCTGTTCTTGAGCCTTGCGCTGTGTCAGCGAGACCGACTCGCTGATGGTGGTCGTGCGATAGTATGTCGTCTTGACAAAGGGTTTCGCCTCAATAAGCCGTACCTCCATCAATGTCGTGATGCCCAGGGTGCCAGCGGCTCCAGCAGCGCCGTAGAAGAGCTCGTCGTGCTCGGTGGGGGAAACCATGACAATCTCGCCGTTACCAAGAATCATCTCAACGTAATTGATGGTGTCGTTGAAAAAGCCCTGACGAAAAGAACTGCTTTCGCCTGAACTTCCCGAGTACCCTCCACCCGCAGTGATGCCGGGGAACTCCATGACAACCGGCGGGATAAGGCCATGCGCGAGCGTAGCCTCGACGAGTCGGTCCATGGGGACGTTGGGCTCGACCAGCACCGTGCGCTTCCCTGGGTTGACTTCGATAACCTTGTTCAGAATACTGATGTCAATGACATTACCTGTCGGACGCGGCCGGGTGCTGTTCGAGGAGCCATGGAAGATTCGATATGCCGTCTTGTCTTTGAAGTAAGTCCCAACATGGAAGGCAATCACGCTGACGGTTTGCTGATGACGCTCCATCGTGAGTAAACAATAATTGCTGTTGTGGATGCAAACCCCCAGGAATGCTGTGGGCACCTACATAGATATAGATATGGACTTGCTACAAGCTGGGTGCGAGGCAAGTTCAGCTTCCGCTCCTGCACTTGGACGAGTGCGCCATGTACCAAACTAGGTACCAGGTAACTAGATTCAAACGCTGAAAATTCTGCGCCATACTTGACCAAGAGAGATGAAACTTGTCTTGGGAAAGACAAGAGAGAGCTGGCGCATGTATTGTGGTCGTCTCGGTGCTCACCGATAGACATCTCTTCGCAGAATCGGTATCCCGGTTACGCAAGTACGGGTGGTTTCTCTCTCATTGGCGGTAAAGCCGGCCAGTCAAGACTAAGTCTTGCATCACTAAGAGGGCAAAAAATAAAAATAAAAAAAATAAAATAAGGTGCATGATCCAATTTTTCCCCCGAGGCGGCCTGCGGTCAAGTTTGCTTTGTTCCCAATGCACCAAGCAACTTGAGTGCAAAGTGCGGATCCTCATAAGAGGGACCAGTGAGCCACGAGCCACGAGCAACAGAGAAGACGACAGATGTAGCTCGGGATTTGGGCGTATTTTTGCTTCTCTTTGTCCAGCACATTTATGCACTGGCCGCTTGCAAGCCCTGGAGATGCCAGGCGATGGCGAGGAGCGTTGGGGGTATAACTGGCGCAATTATGCTCACACGCCAGGTAGGGTAGACCACCATGAACTCGCAGCTTGGCAGCGCTGTGATCTGTAGGTGGCTCGGTGCGTCCAAAGTGCTGATTCTGGAACGAGGCCAAGAGTGACGGGGCTGTGAAGTGGTGGGATGAAGTTTTATTTTAGATTTGCGCGGGAGCATTCAACCGAGGCTGCATTTAGAAATTTTGTGCCATTGGCCGTTGCAGAAGCGATGGTGGCAGCCACATGCAAAGATGATCACATTTGGGCAAACCCCCATCCAGGCAAACCCCCATCCACCCCATGCCTGCATACATAACTAACCCCAGGCCACTTGGGCAGTCGCAACTCCGACTGGGGGGAGCAGAGCGGCTGGCGTACGGACGGGTAGGGACGGAGCATTCGTGAGTCATAGTATGCATGGTTAGATTCAACGGGCCGTGTTCGGTACGATAAAGATGAAAAGGGCGAGGGGATGCCTAATGCAGAACTAAAGAGAAGCGTCGAGAAGACTGTTCTGTTGACGAGGCCACGTACGTTCGAAATCGAAGCAGCTCCACCGGGCGCGGGACGGAGCCAATCGCTGGAACCGACCGTCCCAAATCGGGTAGGTTTGGTGGGAGAACTCGATGAGACGGGAGAAGAATCAGGCCATTCCCCATTGTTACAGTAGCTAATGTCGGATGGCTGCGAAGCGAGGATTGCGCATGTCGGGGTTGTGACTTTATTTCGTCGTGACAGCATGAACGGCGGCCTGCCTGTGGTCTTGGCCTTGTTGGCTCGTAGCCGAGACAAGTGACCAGACGCCACTTGTGGTGGTGTAGTTTTGTGATGGCACAGCAAGCAGAGATGGAAGAAGGGAAAAAGGGAAAAAGGGAAGAAGAGAGACCAACAAAGGCTAATTAGCGGCCAGTAACAAAAAGTACCCCGTCATCCACGCTAAATCCTAATCAGATTGTGTACTGTACATACATACAGTACATAGCATCGGATAATGAGGCACTCGGATCTCCAGTTGGCCGACAACTGGCGGCTAGTGGTTGGCAACAAACGGACGGGAGTTGGCAGCTGGCAGCACTTGGCAAACAAACGGGCCTAAGCTTCACGTTGTTTCTGTGTACAACGTAGCCACCGCTGCTTGAGGTGCTCACACACACATCGCCATTTATTTATTAGCCCGAGACCCTGCCTGCCACATTTTCGCTTGCTTCCTTTTTTTTTCATCAACCTCTTCCTTGAAAATTCCCTCTCGTACCCCCAAGCCTCAAACAAAAACGGAACACTCATCCTCGTCTTGCAACATCCCCTCGCCATGATGGGAACCGATTGCTGTTCTAGTGGCCCCAACAACCACGAGCCTTGCGGTGGCCCCTCGACTACCATTCACCACCACGAGGCACTTCACCACCACGATCATGGCCATGAACATGCTCACGTCCACAGCGGGCCTGCCCATGTTCATGCTGACAACAGCCACGGACATGATCATGACCCCTCTTCGCGCGAGCACGACCACACACCCGACCATGCCGCTGGCCAGGAGCATGCGCATTGCGTCGATGAAGCTGATTGTGCCGCCAAGGGTGAAGTCTGCGATGATGATGCTTGCTGCGATACCGAAGATGACTGCAGTTCAGCAACGCTGGCCTGCTGCGACACCAATGACGAACACTGCGACGGTTTGCAACCCCGACCTAGCAACAAGACGCCGTGTTACACATGGCTATGGTGCGACTTGCGGCTGACACAGGAAATTAGAAAAGTGTATCATCGCTGCTGCTGCCATTGAGTGCGAAAAGGCTTGTGAAATTGAAGGAGAAATTCCCGATGGTGAGTGTCTTCACTCCTGATGTCTAGTTGAACCGCGCCCGGTCCACCGCTTACACGCGACAGCCCATCTCGTCCACCGACACAACCACGATGCCTCTGGCCGCCACCCCGCCACCGCTTGCGGCGACCATTTGGCCCAGGCTTTTGACCAATATACGGCTTACCTCGAATCCGCCCGCTGCATCTGCCGCAGTGTTCTCGAGCGCGGATGGGGCAGCACTTGCTGCAGCGCCCAGCCCAAGAAGAAGCCCATTCGAAAGCGAACCCCCGGCGGGGCTACGTCTTTCACGTCGGCCCACGCCCATCACCCCAGTCATCACCATCACGGACTGAAGCGACGTAATAAGAAACAGCTAGTCCGCGTTGCGTCTGATAAAGACTCTTGCTGCGGTGATGTGGGTGATGGGGACTCGTGCTGTGGTGGTGACCACGCAGACCACGCCCACGATGAAAAGCTTTCCGCAAATACTCGCATTGTCAATTTTCGCGACCTCGAAAAAGCCGATGGCCTCGAACACCTTGCTCTTCACGTCGAGGGCATGACTTGCTCCGGATGTGGAAACAAGATGGACAAGAGCCTTCGAACCATACCTGGTGTCTCCAACGTGCGCGTCAACTTTGTCATGGGACAAGCTGAATGCAGCATCGATACCTCCATGATGGGGCCAGATGAAGTCATAAAAACTGCAGAACGTGCTACAGGGTTCAAATGCACCAAGCTTTCCAGCGATGATCAAGCGATCGACATCCTTGCGGCAGGTTCAGTGGCTAAGGGCCTACTGGACCTCGACATACCCGGTGTCACAGACGCATCTCTTCTCAACAAGAAGACTGTCCGTATCAACTACGACCCCACCATTGTAGGGGCGCGGGAGCTTTACTCGAGGCTGCCTTCCGGTATTGAAGGCCTTGCACCTCCGCGAGATGACCCTTCGGTGTCTAGCGGTCGAAAGAGGCTGTACGATCAGTTAATCAAAACTCTTCTTGCAGCTGCTTTTACGATTCCTGTTTTAGTCATGGCTTGGGGAGATGACGTCGTCCAGGAGCCAACCAAGGCTATCATCTCCCTGTGCCTAGCCACTGTTGTGCAGATGATTGCAATACCCGATTTCTATCGCCCGGCTCTCTCGTCCCTCATTTACAACGGCGTTGTGGAGATGGACATGCTAGTTGTCATCAGCATCACTGCCGCCTACGTTTACTCTGTTGTTGCTTTTGGTTTCCGTATGGTTGGCCAGCCTCTCGAGACAGCCGAGTTTTTTGAGACCAGCACCCTTCTCATAACTCTTGTTATTCTCGGCCGCCTGGTTGCTGCATTTGCTCGTGTCCGCGCTGTGCAGGCCGTTTCTCTCCGTTCACTCCAGGCCAGCTCCGCCGTTGTTGTCGAGAATGGTCAAGACAAAGACATCGATGCCAGACTTCTGCAGTATGGCGACAAGTTTAAAGTCGCCCCCCACACGGCGGTACCTACCGATGGTATTGTCATTACGGGGTCCAGCGATGTTGACGAGTCCATGCTGACTGGCGAGAGTGTTCCTGTGTTCAAGAAGGAAGGAGATGAGGTTATTGCCGGTACAGTCAACGGGACTGGTACCATCGTTGCGCGCTTGGCCCGTCTTCCTGGCAAAAATACTGTCACCGATATCGCGCAACTTGTCGAAGATGCAGCCAACTCCAAGCCACCTATGCAGGACGCGGCCGATCGCGTTGCTAGCTGGTTTGTGCCCATTGTCACTACGATTTCTATCCTTGTTATTATCGTTTGGGTTGTGGTTGGCCTCAAGATCCGCAAGTACAGTGGTGGCCAGACAGTTTCCAACGCCATTACATATGCCGTCGCTACCCTCGCCGTTTCTTGCCCCTGTGCTCTCGGGCTCGCTGTCCCCATGGTTTTGGTCGTTGCAGGTGGCGTTGCTGCTCGCAGTGGTGTCATCATAAAGTCTGCTGAATGCACAGAACGTGCTCGCAAAGTCACGGATGTCGTCTTTGACAAGACTGGCACCATCACAGAGACTGATCTCGATGTCATGACAACCGAATTCTTTGACTGTGAAGAAAACTCGGCCATTGCCATGACCAAGCCGCTAGTCGGCAACAACCACCCTGTCTCCCTTGGTGTGGCCAAGTACCTCAAGAACCGACCCGGCAGTGCCACTGTTACCGATATTCACGTTATCCCAGGTTCTGGTGTTGAGGGAGTCTTCGAAGGCGACGTCATTCGCGCCGGCAATCCCAAGTGGACTGGAACTGACAGTGACCCCATTGTCAAAAATCTTCAGAGCCAAGGTCTGACTCTTCTCGTCATCACTCGCAACTCCAAGCCCATCGCCGCCTATGGTCTTCGCACTCGTCTTCGTGAGGAGTCTACCAAGGTCATCCAGAAACTTACTCGCCGCGGCATCACCGTTCATATTGTCTCCGGCGACTTGCAGCAGGCGGTCGAGTCGGTTGCCAGCCAAGTCGGCATCGCCAACGTTGCGGCCCAGCGCACGCCCTCTGAGAAGCGCGATTACGTCGCCGCTCTCATGGAACAGGGCAAGAACGTCATGTTTGTCGGAGATGGCACCAACGACGCCGTGGCAGTTACGCAGGCCGACGTCGGCGTCCAGATCGCCAGCGCGCTCTCCGCCAGCGAGGTCACCCGCGGTGCCGCCGACGTCGTCCTTCTCAAGGGCCTCGAGGGTATCCCCTTTGTCATTGAGATTAGCCGCGTCAGCTTCCGCCGCATGGTCTTCAACTTTGTTTGGTCCGCCGTCTACAACGTCCTGGCCATCCTGCTCGCGTCCGGCGCTCTCGTCAAGGTCCGCATCGAGCCAGCCTACGCCGGTCTCGGCGAGATTGTCAGCGTCCTGCCTGTCATCTTTGCCGCTTCGACAATGCTGATGGCCAAGATCAAGACGGACTAAGTGGTGTTTGTTCGTGGATAGTGCCCCCTCCTCGCGGGCCGGCCCGTTCAACACTGCTGGTTCGTCGGTGGTTAGCCGTTGGATGGCTCAAATATCGCGCCCTTCTGCAACAAGGTCAGCATTCTTGAGTCAGCGCCCGCAATGCCTTGACGTTGCAATCGTTTCCTTCTCGAGGGGCTGGCGATTCGGTCGGCCCCTGGCCTTTTGCTTTGCCTACTTGACTTTTTAGATTTTAAAGAAACATCTTCTAGCGATATACATCATTGTTGCGGATAACGAGTGCTTCAAATGAAAGTGATGGTAAAATTGTGACCAAAAATCGCTGTAGCCTGCCAGCTGTTTCTGAGACAGTATCCAACGACATAATGCTGCTGGGTGATGACCCAGGGATAAACGCCGCCAACGCCAAACATGCCCTGATAAAAGAGAAAGCTAAAATGTGCCCAACTCGTCTGTAAATTACCACGTCCGCCATTAAAATCAACAAGATTATATCCTCTTGTCGTTCTGTCCCATCGTCATGCGTTGGGACTCTCCCCCGCCAGGCCCGCAAAGTCGACAATCGTGTACTGCCGCCCGAGCACGCCCAGCTTCTCGCGGAGGTAGTCCCGCTGGGACTTTTCTATCCGCTCAAACGTGAACAAGAAGCGCACGAGGAACTCAAAGTCCTGGAGGCGCGCGCGGGCGCCCTCCTCCGTCTGGCCAGGCCCGCGGGGCAGCGCGAGGACGTCGGCGACGGTGGAGGTGATCTCGAAGAGCTTGTGCAGGATGCCGGAGCCGTGGGTGAGCACGCTGGAGAAGCTGCCGAGGCGGTCGACGAGGGCACGCAGCTGGGCGGAGAGCCGCTGGGCGGGGAAGTGCAGCGAGAGGCCCTCGTGGGCGGAGCGCGGGGGCGCGGAGCGCAGAAGCCCGTGGTGCAGGGCGAACTGCCAGACGAGGGTGCGCAGCCAGACGCGCGTGATGAAGAGGTCGACGTGCTGGACCTCGGTGAAGCCGGCAGGGCCGGTGGCGGTGGTGGTGTTGTTGCGGAGCTGGACGGCGAGGCGCTGCTCGGCGGCGGCGGCGCCGTCCTCGTCGCGGTCGAGCTCCGCCTGCTTGCTCTCGACCCACTGCGCGGTCATGGCGGGCACGTGGTGCAGGGTCGTCGGGTCCTTGTGAGCGGTCCAGTGCGCGAGGAAGGGCCCGTCGAGGACGCGGAACAGGTTGGCGAGGCGGTTGAAGCCGAGGTCGACGTGCGCGGGGATGGTGGGGTCGTGCAGCGGCACGTCGGCCAGCGCGAGCTGCGCGCAGGGGAAGCCCGTGACGGTGGAGAGGAAGCGCTCGTGGATGAACAGCTCCCAGTAGACGCGGCGCAGCCGAAAGACGTCGCGAGGCCGCATGCCGGCGTGTACCGTGGCTTCGGCGGCGTTTTTGTTGTAGTTGTTGTTACGGAGGGGGTCGGGGGAGGTGGCGGCGTCCGCGGGGGCGTCGAAACCGTCGATGAGGGACCCGTCGAAGGGCATGGCGGCGTCGTACTGCTGGACATTGAGGACCTGGATCATGGTGATGGCCTCGCGGAGGAGCATGAAGCTACGGTCCCAGCGCTTAAAGGCCATCATGCATATCTCGAGAAAGACGCACGTCATAATGCGCTTGAAATTGACGGGGAGCTCCCCAAACTTGACGCTGGCGGCCGAGGGCCCCGCGTCCGGTCTCGTCCAGGCGGTGCTGTTATCGAGGCGTGTCTCGGCCTGCCGGTGCACAGCGATGCTAAGGTTCATGAGGGTCGCGATCTCGGTGAGGGTGTCGGTAGCGGAGGTGAGGAGCGTCTGGGTGAGGTTGATGGTAACGGCGGTGGAGGCGTAGACGAGTGCGCGGTCCTGCAGGCTGACGTCCATGTTGCGGACGGCGGCGCGCATCTCGTCGCAGCTGAGGACGGGATTGACGGGGTAGATCTGCTCCTCGTAGAGGTCGAGGTAGGCGAGGAAGTACCGGATAGTGTGGTGCGGCGACGGAGCGGTGTTGCCGGCGGTGGCGGCGACGGGTAAGGGTGTCGTAGGAAGAGAGGACGAGGAGGCTGGGGTGTGGTGAGCGGTCTCGGCGTAGGGGTCCGAGTTGACGATACCGGCGATGGAGGTGACGGCGGGCGGGGAGGCGTCGCTGCTGCGCGGGCTGCTCGCGGCGACGGTCAATGGCGACGTCTTGTTACTGCCCGTGCTGGTGCCGGTTGTGTGCTCCTGCGCCTGGTTGTTGCGAAGCTGGGCGACCAGGCGGCCGCGCACGCCGGGCTTGCGCTTGGCGGGGGGCGGCGCAAACTTGCAGGCGAGGTTCAGATGGGCGCACTGAGAGCAGGGATGCTGGCCGTTGCATCGGACCTTGCGGACACGGCAGCCGTCGCAGGCGCGGAGGACACGAGTCGACATGGTGGGCGCAGCGTCTGTTGACGGATGGATGCTGCGAAGATGATGTCGTTGGTGGTTGGGGGATGAGGTGAGGGGGGTGGCTTGCAGTCGCAGCGAGGAGCGAGGCTTTTAGAGGTGCGGCATTGCGTCCGCTGGAGGGGGTGGTCGCGATTGTCGACGCTGGAGAGAGGCTGAGAGAAAATACCAAGTAGAGGCGGTGTCTCCAAGCCGCAGATTTTTCTCTTCTGAATTTTTGATGACAGTTGGATGATGAGAATGAATGGGTTGGTTGCAAATCCCAAGACGCCAAGCGGGACACTACAGTACCTCTATGTATGTATGTACATACTACATATGTTAACTTCTAGAAGGGGTGGAGCTGGCAGCTGGCAGCTGGCAACTGCAACTGGCACAAGTTTGGCAGTGGGCCGCCAGCCGGCGTCTCGTTTGCCGTTTGTTGAGAGAAAAATGGTAGAAGTCTTAGTAGGGAGAACCGAAATCTTGCCCTGGCATCACTTCCTATTTCCGATCAAGCTTCATCGGATGGTTCGCTGTCAGCCCAGTTTTTTTGCAATTACGATTGATAGCGGCGGTCCGTGTCGGCGAATTGTTATCTCTGGGTAAGTACATACGTCTGGATTGCCGGGCGGCAATTGACAGCTTCACAGGCAAACAAACTGGACCAATTCTAATAGCAGCGTCGCAGCAAGCGGCGCCCTACAAGGCAATCCTCGCTGATCATCACCTTGGCGTTGAATGTGAACCATCTCATCCTGAAATTCCACAGATCTACACTCGAGAAAACGCCCAGCCCAACAAGTGTTCCACGGTACTAGAGCGTGCGTCCGGTCAGACATACATATTCGTCGGGAATAACAACCGTTGACCATCATCAAACGCATCCGAATAACCACCATTTAAACTACGACGTTAGAACTTTGCCCTTGATACCATGGACCGAACAGGCCGATTTTCGTCCGCAACGCTGCCGGGCGCTGTGGCTGAATCGTAACACGGGAGGCTTGGGCCCCCCCGACTCAAGTCCAAGACCCAACAGAGAAACGCGATCAAAATCTGGGGGTACGCTGATGTACCCCTTTGCGACACTAATAACAATGCCAAGCGCTGAAGATTCAACTCGCCCTAGCTAGCTGCGCGATGCACCCACATTCCCAACCATGGCAAGCGACTCACGGGCCGTTGAATGCTCATACCAATAAAACGCGGCGCGTGATGCATTTCTCGCGTGATTCGGGCTATCAAAATAGCTTTGCCTTGGAAGCTGGGATTTGCAACCTCTCGTCACCTGCCGTTTTAATGCCGTTTTCCCGTCTCTTCAACGTCGTTTTCAAGTGTGGGTGTCAATGATAGTGGATATATTAATCTCTCGAGGACAATGGCTAACTTTACTCTGCACTCTCTGCAGTCTGCAGTCTGCAGTCTGCAGCTAATAACCAAAGGTCATCTATTGTAGGCAGTCTCCTGACGCAGGTACCGCCCGCAAACAAGTGCTAGTAGTCTAACTTAGACTCGGCCTACTTACACCCAGGGAACAAGCCGCATGCCCCATGATTCCTCAACTATCCCATCCAAATGGGAATCCAGGCCCGGACCTTCATGTCCAGGACCAATCGCGTTTAGCCATCATCGCATTGCGGGGAGACGGCTCTGGCCCCGTGCCTGCACCGACAACAACGCGAACCCTGGCTTCCTCGGCGGTACTACTCTGCGACAATGTCTTTGGCAGCCGCCCTTGCCCCATGCTCCTGCGCGACCTTCGCGCTCTCTGCACTCCATTGGGAAGGGGAAAGACAATGCATACCCGTAATATAAACTCAAAGACGACCTGCCGCAACCTCCCGTCAGTTCCTCCCCGTGATACATTCTCAGTCGACTCCTTGTTCTCCCGGATGCTCTTCTCGGAGCACGAGCAGCTTTATAACTAGGCCATCACCGCCGCGTTTATTGTACCCGTATGAGTTTCAGTACATTCTTATTTCATCCATCTTAAAGCGTCCAACATGAAGCTCTCGACCCTTGTGTCACAGGTCGTCCTGTCATCCCTCGCCGCCGCGGCTGCAATCCCGGGCACCCACTTTGGTCCATTCACAGTCGTTTCCGATGCTGAGCGGCGAGACCTCCACCAAGATGTCGTCACTTGGGATGCACACTCTCTCTTCATCCGCGGCGAGCGCGCCATGATATACTCTGGCGAGTTCCACCCCTTCAGACTTCCGGTGCCTAGCCTGTGGCTAGACGTGTTTCAAAAGATCAAGGCCTTGGGCTTCAACACGGTCTCCTTCTACGTCGACTGGGCTCTACTCGAAGCCAAAGAGGGCGACTACCGCGCTGAGGGCATCTTTGACCTAGATCCCTTCTTCAAGGCGGCCGAGACTGCTGGCATTTTTCTCATTGCCCGCCCTGGCCCATACATCAACGCCGAAGTCGCAGGTGGTGGCTTTCCCGGACGTCTCCAGCGTCTCGCCGGTCAACTGCGTACCAAGTCTCCAGACTTCCTGAACGCGACCGAAAAGTGAGTTTCGCCATACTTACACCATGGTTTCGCACATCTAACCCGACACAGCTATATGAGCAACATTGTCCCACTCATTGCTAAATACCAAATCACAAACGGCGGCCCAGTCATCCTCTATCAAGCTGAAAATGAGTACAGCATCAGCAATGGCAGGGTTCCCTTTCCTGATGGCGAGTACATGCAAGCCGTCATTGACCAGGCACGTCGTTTTGGTATTGTGGTCCCCATCGTGAACAACGATGCTAGTAAGGACGGGCATAACCGCCCTGGCACTGGTGCTGGTGGGGTAGACATCTATGGCTACGACGCGTATCCTCTTGCCTTCGATTGTTCCAACCCTTCTTTTTGGCGCCCCGACGCTCTCCCCGTCGATTATCACGAGGTGCACATGAAAAACAGTCCCAACACCCCATTCCTCATCAACGAGTTTGGCGGTGGCTCCTACGACCCTTACGGCGGTGTTGGCTACGAAAAATGTGCTGCCCTCACCAACCACGAGTACGAGCGTGTATTCAACAAAGATACACTCGCTGGCGGTATTGGCATTCTCAGTATATACATGCTTTTCGGTGGTACCAACTGGGGCAACCTTGGCCACTCTCGCGGTTACACCTCATACGACTACGGCTCTGCCATTCGTGAGGATCGCTACCTCGACAGAGAAAAGTACTCGGAACTCAAGCTCGAAGCCCTTTTCAACAGAGCCTCCCCCAGCTATCTCCTCACCACGCCTGGCGATCTAAGCACCACTCGATACACTGACAACGTCAACATTGCTGTGACTCCGCTGCAGTCCAACGGCACTGGTGACTACTACGTGGTCCGCCATTCCGATTACCAGCTTACAACTTCTGCCTCTTACAAGCTGCGCCTGCCCACTTCTAATGGAACTATCACCGTGCCCCAGACCGGTGGCAGTCTTACGCTTCCCGGCCGTGACACCAAGATCCACGTAACCGATTACCCTGTTGGCAATCACACTCTGCAATATTGCACTGCCGAGATCTTTACCTGGCAAAAGGCTGGCGACAAGACCATTCTCGTCCTGTACGGCGGTCTAGGCGAAATCCACGAGCTCGCCTTGCGAGAGTCGCACCAGGTGGTTCTACTCGCGGGTCACCTCATCTCTACCACGCCCTCTCTTGTCAACACTGTCATCAGCTGGACTGTGGATACTCAAAGACAGGCGGTTCAGATCAACGACCTCGTCATTTACCTCGTTGACCGTAACTCTGCTTACAACTACTGGGCCCCGATCCTCCCTACCAATAAGAACGGCAACTTTGGCAGCACGGTGATGAACCCTGAAGCCGTCATCATCAACGGCCCGTACCTCGTCCGTTCCGCCGACGTGTCCGGCTCCACGCTCAACATCCAGGCCGACTTCAACAAGACGACAGAGTTTGAAGTCATCGGCGCCCCCAAAGGTGTCAGCAGACTTTCCATCAATGGCAAGAGCACCAAGTTCACCAAGTCCAAGGAAGGCAACTGGCTCGCCAAGCCCAGCATCACGTTCCCCGACGTGAAGCTGCCCGACCTCAAGTCCCTGAACTGGATGTCCCTAGACTCCTTACCCGAGCTGCAGCCTAGTTACGATGACTCGGATTGGACGCGGGCCCAGAACTTCACTCGCAACCCGGTCTGGCCGCTCAGCACGCCTGTATCCCTCTACGGCAGCGACTACGGGTACAACACGGGCGCCCTGCTCTTCCGCGGGCGCTTCACCGCTACCGGCGGCGGCGGCCCGAGCAGTCTGTCCCTGCGCACCATGGGCGGCCTCGCCTTTGCGAGCAGCGTCTGGCTCGACGGTGTATTTGTCGGCGCCACCCTCGCCCAGGCTAACAACGATGAGGCCAACTCAACCTACACCCTGCCAACGCTCGAGCCGGGCACGCTGCACGTGCTGACTATTGTTGTGGATAACATGGGCCTCAATGAGGACTTTGTTATTGGTGATGAGGATATGAAGCGACCCCGCGGCATCCTCTCGTACAGCCTGACCAACAGCGATGGTAGCCAGACACCCATTGACTCGTGGAAGATCACCGGAAACCTTGGCGGCGAGGACTACAAGGACCACTTCCGTGGGCCTCTCAACGAGGGCGGCCTCTTTGCCGAGCGCCAGGGCTACCACCAGCCGAACCCGCCCGCTGTCAAGTTCTTGGACAAGACGCCCTTTGAGCAGCACGATGGCGCCGGCATACAATTCTACACGGCCAAGTTCACACTCGACTTGCCTGCGCATGACTACGACATTCCTCTTTCTTTTGTATTTGCGAACTCGACGTCCCAGCCATATCACGCCTTCCTCTATGTCAATGGCTTCCAGTTCGGCAAGTACATCAGCTACCTCGGCCCCCAGACGAGCTTCCCCGTGCCCGAGGGTATCATCGACCACAGCGGCGAGAACTGGGTCGCTCTCGCCGTGTGGGCGCTCGACAAGGGGGGCGCGACCGTGCCGGGGCTCGAGCTGCAGGCGCGGCAGCCCGTGCTGACGGGCAGGCAACCTGTTGAGGTAGTGGACTCTCCAAGGTGGAGGAAGCGATCGGATGCGTATTAATGACGCGCATACCCGGGGTACATTGGCGGATTGATTATTGTTGTGTTCATTATTATAAGTAGTTTTTTTGTAAATACTTCTCTTGATTTGCATCCTTGCCTTAATACACTTTTATCTCAAAAAGCCAGTAGCATCATGGCCAGCGTGACAGCGAGCGTGGCCACACCAACCCCCCGCCTGCCAGCCGCGCTGTCCTTGCCACCACCACCACCACCACCGCCGCCGCCGCCACTGCTCTTGTCCGCCTGTCCAATGCGCAAGCAGGCCATGCTCAGCGTGTTGTCGGCGCGGTCGCCCGGCCCGCCTGCCGGGTAGCCCAGGGAAAAGGCGACGATGGCGAGCTTCTTCTGCGCATCGAGCGAGCGGAAGCGCATTGTGGTGCGGCCGTGCGTGTACGACGCGTTGCCCGGCACGGGGGTCTTGCCGAGGAGGTACTTTTCCGACATGCGCGCGATGTATTCCGCTACAAGCACACACACGAAGTTAGTTCGATTTTCCTTTTTATTCTCATGCTCCCCTTGCCCCTTGAGCGAGCAAGAGAATAGGGCGACTGTTGGTCAGACTCACAGTTAGGTATCAGCGGCCGCGTGTCCGAGGTGCCGTACAGCGTCAGATCACGGCCGGAGCCGTCGCCCCAGAAGATGCTCGGGCAGCGCAGGTTCTTCGGCGGCGTGGCGAAGAACTTCATGAGCGCGCCGCCGACGACCGACGATCCGGTCGTCAGCGTGTTCTTGTCCGTGAAGAGCGTCTTCAGGTCCTGCACGCAGTCGCTCCCCAGCAACCCCTCGCAGCCGCCGTCCGCGCCGCTGATGTCGCTCGTCGAGTTGGATTCCAGCGCCCACGCCGTGTACGCGCGCTCCTGGGCGCGCGTGGCGTTGGCGGTACCGTTGTTGAACTGCAGCCACCACGAGACGGCCTGGATGGGCCCGTTGGCGGAGGCGCTGGGCACGGTGACGTCCTTGTTGGCGGCGGTGATGGCGATGATGTCGGAGTGCTCGAGGTCGTCGATGGCGAAGACGAAGGAGGGCGGCGTGTTGGGGAAGAGCGTCGGGATGGGCAGCAGGACGGAGGCGCTGCTGGCGTCCGGGTTGATGCAGCTGTGGCCCTTTCCGTAGTCGCACTGCTGCGCTGCGGCAGCGGTGGCCAATGCTGTGGTCGTTGTGAGGACAGAAAGGCGCATGGCTTCAACAAAGGCGCTGGGTGTATGTGAGGCCGCTGGGGTATGAGAAGGAGCCGCCAACGGGCCGCGCCGGGCCTAGCTCCAGTACTTATAGGAGGATATGCATTTGGTCCCTCGCAAGGCTAGCTTTTCTTGTCTTGTGATATCTCACTTTCACTCCTTGTTTCATCGCGGGTGATCTGCGTAGACTGGGCTTGGCAGGGCAGGCACTGGGGACAGAGGTCGAGCCGACAACCTCTGCTGGCTGTCGGCAATCAGAGGACCCTGGCATGTCACCACTCTCAGCCGCAGCGGATCTGCCCCCGTCCACAATTCGCCATAGTTTCCTTTCTGATGTCTTGATAGGGCATTTTGCAGGCTTTCTGGGGATAGAAACCCTGCAAGTGCAAAGAATGCAGCGGTGTTGCGAGCTGGATGCGGGTTAGTGCCCGCAAGCCTCTATTTAAGCGTAAATGCGAGACGAGGGTGAAGGCCCTTCGCGCAGCAACTGTGGGAATGAGACATTCGACAATAGATCTAGTTAGTGAGCACGTGGACATGTCGCAGATATGCTCTCTCAGTAGGAAAGCAGAATGGGCTCTGCCCAGTCACCTGCCAACACGCAGATCAAATGGTACAAGATGGTGATGCGTATTATCGAATCAAGATGCGCTGTCGCTCTAACTGGCAAAATAAAAGGCATAGATAGCTTAAGAAGCGTGAGTGTATATTCTTTGCAGAAAAACATGTATCAAATCGTGTGTTTTCATTTCGCACGCTCGACAAATTCGGCCTTGGCCTCAGTCTTCTCAGCCAAGGCCTCAGTCTCGTCGGTCTCGAGACCGTAAATCTCCGAGGGCTCAACAACCGCAGCGCTAAACTTGCGTGCCGACACGCGACGCTCAAATAGCACGTCGAGTTCGCGAAAGGTGCGGTCCTTGGGTTCGGGTAGACGGAAGAATGTCCAGAGAATGCACAGCCCGCAGGTGCCAGCAAAGAAGAGGCCAGACTTGGCACCCCAGTTCCAAGCGGTCGGGTTGAGCATGCGAGGGGTGAGGATGTTTGTGGCGATGCTCGCAATGTTATACATGTTACGGGCAAAGACGACCGACTTGGTACGCAGACGCGTCGAGCTGAGCTCAGAGACAAGCGAGTAGCAGACGGGCCCGACGGTGCAGTCGTAGAAAAATGTATAGACAAGGAGCAAGGAGCCAATGGCCCACTGCGCGGGAATGTTGTCGCGTCCGGCGAAAGCGGCACCGCCAATGCCGATGAGCAAGGTGAAGAGGATGACTTGCCCATAGAGATATAGGGAGCGGCGTCCGAAACGGGTCATGAGGAACCAGGAGAAGATGGTACCGATGAAACCAAGGGAGTACTGAGCAAGGGACATGCTAAACGCATTTTCGGTGGCAAGGCCGGCTTGGCGATAGAACATGGTTGAGTATCCCATGAAGGAGGCGCCGCACAGGGTTTGGATGACCCAAACACAGGTGACAATCTCAGTGCGGCGGCGGTTAATACCCTTGAAGAGATCAAAGTATGATGTTCCTTCTCGAATTCTCCTCTCCATCTCGTTTGTGTGAATCATCATGGAGATGGTCTCGTCGGGGTGGAACTCAACGCCACTGTTGCGGGTCGTTAGGCGTTGAAGCGATCTTTTGGCATCGTCGAGTCGGTTCTTGCGGACCAGCCACCACGGTGATTCCGGGGCGAGCCAGATCCCAATCATGAGAGGCAGAGGCCACACCCATTGCAGGGCAAAGGGGATCTTGTAGCCCCATCTGTTGTTGAGCGGGATCATGCCCCGGAGGACGCCAGAGGCGATAAATTGGCCCATGACCCAGCAGAGGTTGACATAGGTGGTTAGGTAGGCGCGGAGGTGGGTAGGACAGACTTCAGAGGCGTATGTGGTGGTGAGTGTCTGGAAGACACCCCAGGGGAAGCCGATGAGGAGTTCGCCGGCGAGGAGCTGGGGCAGGGACTCGGCAAAAAAGATGATGAAGACGAAGCAGATGCAGAGGAATAGAGCACCAATCAGGGTCTTGCGGTAGCCAAAACGGTCGGCGATGACACCGGCGGCGAAGAGGCCGAGAATCTGGCCACAGAGGGCGGCGTTGGAGAGGCCCGACTGCCAAGCGGCAGTGAGTTCGTAGCCATCCTCGGAGGGCTCGCCAAACTTTTGCGCAAAGGCAGGGTAGACATAGAGACCGTTGATGATGGTCAGGTCAAAGCCTTCCATGACAATGCATGTCGAGAAGAAGATGGACCACATGCAGGCCTTTTTGTAGAGCTTGAGCGATTTCAGCAGACCCAAGTTGTGCTCGGCCTCGGTGGCGGCTGCAGCTTCGAGGGCGTGGGCAGCGCCGCTGGCAGGGCTAACTGCGTTGGACAGGACCTCGCCGGACATCATTTCTTTCTCGTCGGGAGAGCTCATGGCTGAAGGATGTGATAATCGTCTAAGTAGGTAAAGATGGTGTATAACAGTATAGAGAGTTGACCCGGGATGCGTCGCGGCTACTGAGTCATGGTAGGCTGCGCGTCTGGGGAAACAAGGTTATCGTCCCGCAAAATGAATCGGTGGGGGGAGGGTCTCTTTATAATAATTCCATCTTGTGAGGCATAAACTGGCAAGAGAGAAGAAGATGAAGTCTTTCCTGCTCCTTCCTTCGTTCAGACGTCAAGAAGAATTAGTCGCGTGCGGACGGGCCCCTGTCGTTGGAGAGCCGAGACACACTGGAATGGATCTGGTCAGCCACCAAAGGCTTGGCTAAGCCAGATTGGTATCTGCGCCAGACCAGTCCAAGCAGTCAATTGCCGCCAAACAAGGCCATTATTACGGCCATGCCGGTCGAGGGAGATGGGGGCATTGGAGATGGCGACTCAGCTACCCGTCCGTCCACTGTTCCTTGGTGGCTGTCTCGCCATCTTTCTTGTCGGACCGACAAGCGATTGAATCATCGACACGCTCATCGCCAACCTTTCACACCACGATGGCATTTACGCAAGCGTCTGCCAGTCCGTCCCGTCGCAGCCAAATTGTCGCGTGTGTCGAACCTGGGGTTGCCCACAAGTTGCCCATGGGGTTGCCCACAAGTTGCCCATGGGGCCGCCTTGGTCTGGGATCGTGGCGATCTGTGCAGCATGACTCTTTGTTGCTGCAGCATGGGTTGCCCTCTCTCTGCAGCGTGTGGCGTGGTCGTCTCGGGCAAATAATGGCGCCATGAAACGATCTCAGCAGGCGGTCTCGGCAAGTGGTCACCGGATCATGGCCTGCAGCTGGGTGGAAGGCTCTTTGTTTCATCGAAAAGTGACGAATTCGTCATCATGAATCTTCTTCTACAAAGATCTTTTTATCGAACCAGGCCGCTGCATACCTACAGTGCAGAAGCAAGCTCCATGGTGATTTTGTCGACTAGTTAGAGGGAAAAAAAGACACGTCTCGGGAGTGGCGATCATCGCACATCCATGATCCCAACAAACGCGCATGGCTGGTAACTACCCGACTTTCGGGCCGACTATCAAGGGAATTGCCTTGATAAGAAGAATGTTAGTAGCGGTGGCTGATGCAATGCCTGATGGTTGGTTAGTGTTGTCTGTTTGCCATTTCCATGGGCTTTCGTGGCGGCCGACCATAGCGTTGGCGGCGTCGCCGCAAGTTCGACGTCGAGGCCTGACGACTGAAGTCGAAGTTGCGAGGCAATGGTGAAGTGAATCTGGAGGCTTGAATAGGATGAGAATGTGGAGGTGGAGGGGGGCCTGATGGCGCTCCTGCCTTGGCGTAGGCTGGAGAGAATCCGGATCTGTGATGAAATGGGAAGGCGGGCAGCTGGAGGGGAGGCGGAGGAGGAACGGCTAACTACAGGGTACTGCCGAACTAGCTGTCGCCACTGGTCTTGGTCTGGCCCTCAAACATTGTCGGACCGACAACAAATCGTCAACATGTCGGACCGACAGCTTCAAGCAACCTTTACCTACAACTACCCTCCTCATTTTCATCCCTCTCCTCCCCCAGACCGCGCCCATCCCCGCCTTCTCCGCAAGCCACTGCTCACGAACCACTGGTAGTCCAACTTTAATGAGCCTTTCCACAATCCCGTACCGAGTACGGGGTATCTGACAGCAATCTCATCTTCACCCGAGTCCCAGTTCCGACGCAAAACGAGGCGCTCAGCCGTCCCCGCTACCAAGATGCCAGCCTCGCCTCAACCTGTCGTCGGTCCGACAGTACGACGTTGAATCATGGAGAATCCGGGGAGCCTGGGGAAGGACTTTAGCCCTTCCCGGTCCCATGCTTTCTTTTTGTGACGAGACATGTCACCCTGCCTTGTCCATCCTCTCCACTGCGCCCCACGACTCTGCCAGATTTAAGCCGTCTCCCGTCTCCGGACTCAACTCAAACTATACACCATCACCCACGCCTCATTCCCTTGTTTCCTTCTCTCAGCTGTCGTTTCGCAAGCAGCTACGTCCTACGGTGCATCCTATACCCATTTGTCTTTCCTTTGCATCGTCTACACATCACAGCCCCAAACATGACCGTCATTGGGCGAGAGAAGAAGTGGTGGAAGCAGGCCGCCATCTACCAAATCTACCCTGCTTCCTTCTGCGACTCTAATGGAGATGGCATCGGCGACATCCCCGGCATCACCTCTAAGCTGGACTACATTGCCAGCCTCGGCGTCGATGCCATCTGGGTGTGCCCCATGTACGACAGCCCCCAGGTTGACATGGGCTACGACATTTCCAACTACGAGGACGTCTACCGCCCCTATGGCACCGTCCAGGACATGGAGACGCTGATCCGTGAGGCACACTCCCGCGGCTTGCGCATCATGCTCGACCTGGTCATCAACCACACCTCGGACCAGCACGCCTGGTTTAAAGAGTCTCGCGCTAGCAAGGACAGCCCCAAGCGAGACTGGTATATCTGGAAGCCCGCCAAGTACTCTGCCACCGGCGAGCGCCTGCCGCCCAACAACTGGCGCGGTAACTTTGGCGGCGGCAGCGCCTGGGAGTGGGATGAGGCCACTCAGGAGTACTACCTCCACCTCTTCGCCACGGAGCAGCCTGACCTCAACTGGGAGAACCCCCTGACGCGCCGTGCCATCTATGCCTCAGCCATGGAGTTTTGGCTCGACCGCGGTGTCGACGGATTCCGCGTCGACACGGTCAACATGTACAGCAAACATCAAGACTTCCCCGACGCCCCCATCACCGACCCCAAGGCTCCCTTCCAGCCGGCGGGCTCCATCTACTGCAACGGCCCGCGCATGCACGAGTTCCTGTCCGAGATGAACGCCATCCTCGTCCGCTACGGCGCCATCACCGTCGGCGAGCTGCCTTGCACCCCTGACATGGCCAAGGTGGTCAAGTATGTCAGCGCCCGCGAGCGGCAGCTCGACATGGTCTTCCAGTTTGACCTCGTCGATGTCGGCTTCGGCCGCACCCACAAGTTCGAGACCACGCCTCGCAACTGGACCCTGCCCGACGTCAAGGCCGCCGTGGAGCGCACGCAGAGCATCATCCGCGGCACCGACGCCTGGACCACGGCCTTTATCGAGAACCATGACCAGGCCCGCTCCGTCTCCCGCTTCGCGGATGACAGCCCCGAGTTCCGCGTCGCCGGCGCCAAGATGCTGGCCGTCATGCAGTCGTGCCTGAGCGGCACCCAGTACGTCTACCAGGGCCAGGAGATTGGCTGCGTCAACACGCCCAAGGTTAGCTACCCGCCCGAGAACTACCTCGACATCGACAGCTCCCTGTACTACAAGATGGTGCAGGAGCGCTACGGTGCCGACAACAAGGTCGAGCTGGACCGTGCCTTTAGCGCCATGCAGCACCTAGCGCGCGACCATGCGCGGGTTCCCATTGCCTGGGACGGCCGGGCCAAGCACGGCGGCTTTTCCGAGCCCGCCATCAAGGCCGGTAAGGACGTCGCGGAGCCTTGGATGAAGGCGCACCCCCTCGCCAGCGAGGTCAACGTGGCGTCGCAGCTCGACGACCCCACCAGCGTGCTCGCCTTTTGGCGCAAGATACTGGCGTTCCGCAGGGAGCACGCCGACGCGTTGGTGTACGGCGACTACAAGGGCCTGCAGGAGGACAACAAGGAGACGTTCATGTTCTTGAAGGAGGCGCAGGGGGGCGCGCAGCGAGCGCTGGTAGTCCTCAACTTTACCAAGGAGCCGCAGACGTGGACGGTGCCGTCGGCGGGGGAGCTGGGTCTCTCGGAGACGGACGACGTCAAGATGACGCGTATCCTATCGACGCACGAGGGCAAGCGCGATGGGCAGACACTGCAGCCTTTTGAAGGGCAGGTCTTTGATATTGATGCGTAGACTGGGCAGGGATAGAGCCTTGACGAAGACACGCTTCCTGGGAAATGAGGCTGATGCTCGCTGATGAAGCAAATTGTATATAGTTCAAATTCAGACGAACAAGTTCGTAAAGTACTGACAACACATCTCTTGCCTGTGCCTTTGACTATCAATGTTTCCCCAACACGGACACCAAACAATCCTCGTTCTTCTCCCTGTCCACTACGGCGCGGGCACCTTGGACGCATCCCACCAGGGAAAGAAGCGCTCGCCCGGTGCGAGCGTCTTGAGCACGCATGCCTTGGCCTCGCAGCCGACGGCGGCCTGGCTGTTCCCCCACCAGTCAACGGTGACGCCCATCCACTGGACGGTGAAGAGCATGACGAGGGCGGAAATGGCGACGCCGGCGGAGAAGGAAGCCGAGAGGACAAAGTTATACTAGGCGATCCATGTCAGTGGCTTGATTTTTTTGGCCTCGCTTCGCTCGAGTTTGGGGCGGCAGGTAAAGACATGGTGAGCAGGACAGACATACCTTGGACCAAAAGGCGAGATAGCGGCCGCGGATGTAGATCCAGGACACCCAGGCAAAGGGCACGGCACCCCAGACGTACGAGAAGCCTGGAATCTGATGTTAGCTTACTCATTCTCGACTTGCTCATCTTCTTCATTCTTCTCTTCGTTTCTCTCAAGCGCAAGTGATGATGGAAGGAGTACACGTACTCAGGGGCGTCCAGATGATGCCGCCGTAGAGGACCGGGATGATGTGCACCTGGCGCAGCGCGCGCGAGTGCGGGAACTTCAGGCGCAGCGCCCAGAAGAAGACGACGACGAGGATGCCGAGCGGGAAGCCCAGCAGTAGCCACTTGTACTGGCCGTTGATGCCGAAGACCTTGAGCGGGCCGACTGTGCCCCAGAGCAGCGACGCGGTGAAGAAGGTGTTGGGGCCGGGGCAGTAGAAGCGCATCGGGGCGTCGGGCGTGCAGACGTCCTTGATGTCCATCTGGGTTCTGTCAGCGAACTTCCGTGACAAGGAGGAAGATGGGGAATCGAGGGGGTGACTGTTGCGTACCTGGAACTTGAGCACGCCGGAGCAGACAAAAGTCGAGATCAGGGTGGCGACCATTTGTCCGGAAAAGGTGACGCGAGGAGGAAGCTGGCACGTATCATGTCAGCCAAGTCCAGGAGGAAGCACCTAAATACAACCTGATCACATACCTTGAGGTAGTGCGCAACCTTGAGGTCGTTGGCAAAGGAGAGGGCTTGGGCGCAGGTGACGTAGCTGGCAATGTTAGCTATGCATGGGATGGGACGGAAAGGATAAAATTCAAGACAATACGTACCCATATGACTTGAAAAAGTTCATGGCCAAGGCGTTGCCCTCGACAATCATGCCGCCGATAAACTCGGCCAGGACGTTAAGCGTAATCTCAATGCCCGTCATCGCAGCAACTACACCGATCGGAATTACAAAGATGATGCACAGAAGAATGCCGTATAGCACAACGGCGGGCGAGGTAAATGTCGGCCACAGTGCGATGCCGAGGACGCCGAGGACGACAGAGATGACCAGGGTGCCAAAGTACCACCACTCCGAGACTGTTGCAGTTAGAGATAGACGCTCTTCCTCTCTCGCTTCGATGCACTCTTATTCTCCGTCTAAAAAAAGAACTCACCTTCGGGATACGCCGCCATGAGACGGTTGTGCACGTCCTCGTACTCCCTCTTGGCCGTGCCGTCCGCCGCACCCTTCTTCATGCGGAACCCGCGGATCAGGCTCCGGAAGCCGGTGACCATCTCGTAACGGTGGTACAGCGCGACGTGCACGACCACTGCCGAATACACGGCGAAGAAGAAGCCGTAGACCATGGCGTTAGCGGCGCCGATGTAGGGCGCCGAGTAGTCCATATAGGCGTCGTGGTTATAGAAACCGCGTTCGTCAATGGCGCGCGATACGTTGTAAAGCTTGCCAAAGTGGTCAAAAGTCCGGTTGGTAATAATGGGTAGGTAACCCGTGTTCCAGCTGTTGGTGTACCATATGCCGAGGGCGATGAGGCCGGACAGGAACATGCCGGCCGCGGTGTTGAAGGTGGAAAACGAGGGGACCATCTGGTGAGGGGTTGAGGTGAGTCACCGTATCATGATCGAAGCAGATAAAGAGGAGAGACGGAGATGTATAAGGGAGAGAAAACTCACAAGCGGGTCGATGACACTGGCGACGACGTTCCAGTCAAACGTCGGCAGCGGGTTGAAGCCCAGGCCGTTGTTGAAGCCGGCCACGATGTTGAGGTCGCGATGGTTCGGCGCAATCCACGTAATCCAGCTAAAATACGACAGGACGGTGAAGAGGTAATTCGGCAGCCAGAAGTACAGGAACATGCCAGAGAACGTAATCAAGAAGAACTTATACCGCGTCATACTCCAAGTACGCCGCCACGGCCCCAGCACCGACGTCGAGTCCTCGTCGTGCAGCGAACTGTTCAGCGCAATCGTCACTAGGCTCGTCGGCCACACGCAGTAGCTCGGGTACACCAGGAAGCGCCTCGTAAGCCCTGCCAGCCCGTACCCGATGAAGTTTGTGCCAAGCGCGTTAAGCAGGACGTAGGCGAAGGAGCGCGCGTACTGCTGGTCAAAGTACTGCGGCAGCACCTGGACCCAGACAATGTACGCCGTGTATGGCAGGCTCTTTGAGGTGTTGGCCATGATGGCGATGAGCATGTGCTCTTTCTTGTTGAACCGTCCCGGGTTCAGTGGCACGGGCTGGGAGACGAACGGGATCTTAACGGACACGCGCGGCATCCAGCGCTCCCAGGCCTTGCCGAGCGGGTAGGCGAGCAGCTGGGCGATGTTGGTGTCGAAGCGGATGTAGGGCAGGCGGATGCTGAAGAGCTGGTTGATAAAGGCGAGGAGCACGGAGAAGAGCACGCCGATGGTCCAGGCGCGGATCGTGGACACGGGCGTGGTCGGGTCGTCATGGTTGGAGACGACGCCTCGGACCTCGGCGTAGGGCGAGTTGTTGGTGATGAGTGCCGCCTCTATCTTGAGCTCTTGGATAATGGCAGCGTGCTTTTCGGGGTGTATCGGTATATCGTCGTTGGCTGGGCATGTTAGACTGAGGACAATGCAATGGATAGGAGAGGGCTGGCCAGGGCAAGGGAAGGAGGGGAAGAAGGCGAGGGGGGTTCATGGCTCAAGGTGAGTGAACAAACAGGCTAGACAGCAAACAGAGGAAACGTACCGAGAAACTCTTTAATCTTCTCAAGAGTCACGTGGGGAAAGTTGGGGTCCCCGTCGTGAATGGCAACCACATTCTTCATCATCTACAAACACTCGTCTCAGTAAGCAACTCGAGTTTCAAGGGGCTGAAAATACATACCGCAATAACATTCTCCAGAGTCATCGACGCTGCCATCTCTTTGGCCTCGCGCAAGTCATCCTCGGTAGCATCCAGGTGGCTGTTCCATCCCATCAGCACAATCTATCCATCTGTCTCGTCCTCGACGTCCACGACACAGCAAGCAACTCACGTCTCCAGCGCATGGATATTGTCCGCCGACTCGGCGCTCTTCTATACATCCGTGTCAGTAACCTGATACTTAGAGCCCCTTGCAGCTTTTCCAAGGCAACACTCACCACGCTTGCAAGCATCTCCGCCTTCTCCCCGCCCGCCGACACGGCTTCTTCCTTAGAGGCGGCCTCGGCCGCCCGCTTCTCCGACATGGTAACTCAGGGGCGATTCACTGATGTACAAGATCGAAACTTCCCTTGAAAGAGGGACGGAGTGAGGAGAACGGGTCCGGACTTCGAAGAGTTGATGCAACAAGTCGGCATATATAACATGCTCAGTAGCTCTCTCAGACGCCAAGAGGATGGTATCACGAGCCACCCTTGCCACCACATGCTATCTATCCTCTTGCTGCCAAGACTCACGACTTCGTAATACTCTAATCTTGCCTCGTCAGCCCATGTGAGAAACCATTATTTGTCAACCACCACAACCATCGCAATGAACATCCCACGATACCTATCGATGCCTCAGTTGGGGCTTCAGCTTTTTAGCCATATTACGTTTTCTTTATTGCATTCCTCCATTTAATTGGCTACCTCCGCCCATCTACCTTCCTTCATCTACACTCGTCTATTTCTCTTGGCTCACGAGACCATCCGCGCAACCCCCTCCTACCTCACTCACTCGGTATCCATGGCTTCTCGCGGCCTTGCTCCTCCGCTCCCTATCAAGAAGCCGGCCTAACTACTTCATGGTAACAGCTTCGTTCTTGCCAGCTTCCTATTCCAGCAGGCGCTCGTCGTTCTCGACCGCTTGGCGCGCCTGATAACCCAGCCCGAGCTAACCACCACATGCACAGAAAAACAGGCAAACAAGTTTAAAGCTAGCCATGCGCCGACCGCATCACCCACGCGTATTTTCTCTTGTTCTCTTGGTATGGCTTCTCTCGGCGGCTGCCATTTGACGGCTCTCCGCCAAGACGCGAGCGTGGCCGCTTAGGCTGTCTTGGTCGCCGCTTGGCGACGGGGGGGCCGGGATTGGCACCAACATGTCAAGGAGGGGGCAGACTCGTTCATTCGACTTGCCGCGCTGGGGCAAGATCGATGGGAGATGGTGAGGACAAAAGTTCCTTTCATCTCCACGAGCTGGCGCCAAGGTGATGCCTTGGCCGAGCATAGGCTGCTGGGGGTTCGGCCAACTTTATCGCGAGGATGGGAGTGACCAGATATGGTGCGATAAGAAGAAAAACGAGCGAGACCAGCGCCAGATGTGTAAAAAGATTTATATCTTATTATCTTATCTTATCAAGTTCCGTCATCATTCATTGGTCTGTTGCTTGCCTTGTCACCCCTTTCTGTACACGCATGTTATACAACCTTGGCCACCGTACCTCAAGTCATCAGCGCAATATGCTTCAGTTCACTAGACGCCATCAGTTAGCACAGCCTCACTCGAAATCCTGTTATCCCCGTGTATCATACCTCTGCACCTGATGCCCGACCTTCATCGGCGGATACTCCGCCTCCCTACCCTCATCCATGCCCTCCGCCTCCCTCTCCCGCCGCAGCGCCCTCGCCCTCTCCGCCAGCTCCTCCACCGGCACCAGGTCAAAATCCGACCCCAGGTGCCAGAACAGCGTGCTCGAGATGCGAATCTGCGGCCGGCCCGGCTCCTCCACCCGCCTCCGCTCCATCGCCGCCAGCGTCCCCGCGTTGACCGTCACCTCGTGGAAGCCCGCCTTGACCAGCCCGCCGGTGACGTGCTCCAGCTGCTTGCCCGCCTGCACCAGCAGGTAGTTGCCCGGGGGCATGCGCACGGCGATGCGCCGCCCCGTGTTGCGCGCCCAGATGTTGAGCCCCGGGTACCGGCTGCGCCCGTGGATGGTCAGGAAGTTGAGGTCCGTGTGGAAGCCGGCGAGGATGGTGTCCAGCGCGCCGTACTTGTTCAGGTCCGATGCGGTCGGCGCGAGGAGGTGCGGGCTTTTTTCACATGTTAGCGAAAGAAATGTAAAAGACAAAGGCGAGATGAGGGGTGGACATGCCCGTAGCGGCCGGCATCGCTAAAGTACATCTGGGGCAGGCCGAGGCCAATTGCCACCATCTCCGAAAGCGTCGAGACACTATCAACCCGTGAGCGTTCATATCCACCAGCTTTTTTTGAATTCCAGCTTCACACGCACGCGCTCTTCATGCAACCGCCCCAGCGGTCCATCGTCGGCGTCCAGCGCTCCCTCAGCCCCTCCGCCTGCGGCACCACGTTCCCCGCGTTCAGCCCCGGAAACTGCGTCCCCTCCGGGGGCTCCTCCGCCATCCGCCAGAAGAACCTGCACTTGGGGTCCGGCTGGTGCCCCGAGACGTCGAGCGGGCGCTGGTCCGGCGCCAGGCGGGCGATGATGTCCAGGCAGGGCTCGTCGACGGCGCACTTGGGCCGCTCCGTGTTGGCCAGCGTGGCGCCGACCTGGTAGCTCAGCGCGGGCCGCTCATCGCGGCGCTGCGCGGCCTCGGGCTGCGCGAAGTAGTCCTCGAGGAGGTCGAGGAAGTCGTCGTTGTCGCGCGCGGCGACGCGCGAGTCGCGCAGGACGAGCGCGCCGTACTGGATAAGCGCGTCGGCGGCCTTGGCGCACTCGGCGAGGGCGGGCGTGGAGGAGGGTTCGTGGGCGAAGTACACGTCCATGTCGACGATAGGGAGGTCCATGGACGTGAGAGAGTCGGCTGAGGTCATGGTGTCGGTGTTGGCGAGTGGGTGGTCGTGTGGAAGGTAGAGGGCGCGGGTTAAAGGCGTTGTCGTCCGATACGGGGGCGGAGAGACGGCAGATGTAGACTCAGAAGTTCAGATGAGTATAAAACGAGGGGGAATAGAGGCGAATGAAGAGAATCGAGAAGAAGAAAGAGATAGTGGCGGCAAGCAGAAACTCCCGTTGTGGCGCCGTTGATAGCCGTGGCATGTGCCTGCGGGGGAGGGGCTACGCTGAAGATTAGCTGACTACCAGCACCCTGATTCGCTAGCGGCCAAGTAACTGTCCTGAAGGATTGTCGGAGGTCGCCGAAGGCTAGATTAAGCTCGGGGATGGAATATGAACGCATTAGAACGGGAATTACGTCGATTTTTAGAGTATTCACGGACACCAGTACTTGAGCAATCCGTCCTATACTGTGCTACTCTGTTGTCTGGTTTTGGTTGGAGCATCTTTACAGGCAAGGAACACGGCTGGGAAAGAATCAAGTAGTTTTTGCTACTCTGCTTTGTTCTTGGAAAAGTCCAGGTCAAATAAAACCAAGAAATTGAAGAAAGAATAAGCAGCATTGTTGAAATCAAGATTCTAGCCAAGATGCCTCCTCATTGAAGCTATATGTATGTATATGCAACATCTCGTATACAAAAATCTTCTTTCTAAAAACCAGCCAGCACAGTCAATGCAAGCCCCAATTAGACAACGTATTCAAAATTCCACGAGACCCCAAATTGGCACATCGTGACCACAAAAATAAACAATCCGCATCTGCATGCGTATCCAATCGGCGATGCAAAAGCAAAATAATAACAAGCAAAAAACCATGCCACACTCATCGGCATTCACTGAGACAACATCACGGCGGAAAGTAGGGGCCAGATTTCGAAAACCACTTGCGCGTTGAGCAACATCACTGGCGACATGGCACCAGGCTCGGAAACAGGTGGGTATCAAGCGCGCAAGGGTGTCCAGAAATAACATCACTGGCGAGGGATGGGGCGGATAGAAGAAAGGGTTCGTCCATGCCACTCGAAAGGATCGCATGGCTACTGGCGTTTGGGCTGGTCGTCCGGGATGGTCGTGGCCACATTCTCGGCAGGCTGCTCGTTGTCAGAACCGTGATTCGATGCCAGGTCGGCTTCCTTAGGCGTCAGCGTCGCGGTCGTCGGGCGCGACTCCTCCTTCCAGAAGTTCTTGTCGCCCTTGGAAAGACGCACCATCCAGGGCGGCAGCACGCCACCGGGGATCTTGTACGTCCAGCCGGTGCGCTCCTCGTAGTTGGGCGGCACGATGCGGCCTCCCGAGAGCTTCTTGATGACCCAGACCCCGCCGTTGATGATAATGTACGACATGACGCCCGCGATGAGGCCATCGGCGATGGAGTAGCTAAACGGCATCATGGCCATAGTGAGGAAGGCGGGGACGGCGTCGCCGAGGTACCTCCAGTTGATCTCAACAACGGCTGTGGCCATCATGGCCCCGACGATGACGAGGACGCAGCCGGTGGCCCAGGGTGGGATGGAGGCGAAGATGGGCGCGAAGAAGACGGTGATGAAGAAGCAGAGGCCAGTCATGACGGCCGTGAGACCCGTCTTGCCGCCCTCGGTGATGCCAGCGCCCGACTCGACGAAGGCCGTGACGGGTGGCACGCCAAATACGGCGCCGATGGAGATGCAGATGGCGTCGGTCATGTAGGCGAGGGTAGAGCCCTCAAAGTCCTGGGTCACGGGGTCGACGAGGCCGGCGAAGCGGGCCATGGAGTAGAGGGTACCAGTGCAGTCGAGGATGTCGACGTAAAGGAAGGTGATGAGGGCAAGCCCGAACTGGCCGCCGTACTCGCCAATGTTCCACTCCTGGACGTTGAGGATGTTCTGGATGGGATGGAAGGTAACGACCTTCTTGAAAAAGTTGAACGCGTCGTCGCCGACAGGGGTGTAGGGGAAGTAGGTGACGGGTGTCGGGCGCGGCCAAGAGATGATGCTGACGAGGAGGATGCCGATGATGATGGCACCCTTGACGCGGTACATCATGAGCATGACAGACAGTATGCCACCGCAGAAAATGCCGATCCACATGGTGGGGTTGCGCATCTTGTCAGAGCCCGGACAGGTGCCGGTCTTGGGGTCGATGCTGGACGGGTGGCAGCCGGCGAGCTCGACCGGGGTTGCCTGGGAACCGACGATGACGCCGATACCGTTGCTGTACGTGAGGCCGATGAGGGTCAGATAGAAGCCAATGCCGACGCCGGTGGCGAGCTTGATGGAGGCGGGGATAGCGCGGGCGAGCCACTGACGCATGCCAAAGAGGGCGAGGGCGAAGAATATGAAGCCCTCAACGAAGATGGCGGTCAGGGCGACGCGGTAGGGGACGGGCCCGGAGCCGTGGAAGCCGACGACGGTGTAGGCAAAGTATGCGTTGAGGCCCATGCCCGGGGCGATGCCGACGGGCATATTGGCAAGCACGCCGACAAAGAAGGTGGCGATGGCGGAGATGGCGGCCGTGGCAGTGACAACGTCGCGCTTGATGCCTTGGACGCAGATAGCGTACTCTTGGTTCGTGTTGCAGAGGGGATCATCGGCGCCGCCGTTGCAGACGCAGGTGCCGCCGGACTCGGAGACGATGGAGGAGTTGACAGCGAGGATGTAAGCCATGGCGAAGAAACTGGTGAGGCCGGCGCGCATCTCAGTGAGGAAGTATGATCCCTTACGCTCGCGAGGCTGGGGATTCAAGTCAGCATGTGGTGAGGGGCAGCGTGTAAGAGGAATTTGTGTGTATTAATCAAGGGCATCGGTGCGAGTGCGGGATTGGGACAGGTTGGATATATGGATGCAGAATTATTCTGAATGCCATGATTATCTGCGTGTGGTTGGTCGTGCAGGGTTGTGTTAATGAGACTTACATGACCGGAGCCATCGAGGCGAAACCAACGGCCGACGAAGCTTTTGGCGACGCGGGAGTTGACGTTTTCCGCCCAACCCATGGTGAGTTAGTAGCAATTGGAATGTAGCCAGTTGTTAGAGAATATCGAAGCAATGGATCGTAGAAGAGACCAGCGGAGAAGGCCGTCTATTTTATAGCAAAGCTTGAAGCGAGGCGTGTGAGTGGTTGGAGCGGCCGAGGAGCAAAGTCAAGGATAGGAATTGGCGCTAGACATGGAGGGATATCGTGGGTGCCGAATTGGAGAATGCGGCGGCGAGGCGAAGGGGTCGGAGAGGAGCGCGAGTTGAGTTTTGGAGTCGAATTGTAGAGTGTGGTATGGTGTTGGTGTGGTGAGCCTTGTTACCAGACAGAGGCGGCGACGAGGTGGAGGGGCGGATGAGGCCGGAGTGTGGAGGGAGAGATGTTAGAGTGGCCGAGGATGAAACTGCAGGTACAAATGCATGTGCGAATGGCAAATAGTATAAATAATAAATGAGGATTGCAATTGAAAAAAAAAAAGAGAAGAAAAAAATCTGGGTGCAGAGATGAGGCGACGGCGGGTGGGTGCGGGCGGAGTGAGTGACAAGCCAAGCCAGCCAAAGCCAAAGTGAAGAGAGAAAGTGGGTACCGGGACAGGCTATCTGCTGTGCGCGGTGATGGAACCAGCCAGCAGTGGGGTGTGCAGATGATGCAGAGGATGCCAGGTGGTGGTGCAGGTTTTGTGTATTGAGGAATACGAGATGGTGGGAAAGAAAAGGAAAGGAGGAGAATTGAAAATGAAGGAAAAGGAGCAAGTCAAGAGAGAACAGTCGGTCTGAAAAGTTCAAACGGAATTAAAATGGAAAAGAAAAATGAATGAAAAATCTGAAGCCGCGACAAGCGGAGGGGAGGCCGGCAAACGGAGCAGGCTGCCAGCTGCGAGTTGAATTGCCAGGTGCCGCCGCCGCTGCCGCTGCCAGCTGCCAGGCGTGGGGTGCCTCCCTCGGAGCAAAGGCTTCCAGGCAACGCCACAGAATAATACTAGGTAAGCCCTTAACAATGCTGATCTGCAAAATTACAGAATCACCAATGGCCAATGGCTCGGATTACAGACAATTGGTATTGGCTCGATAAAAAAAAAAGGACGACTCCGGCTGGCTTTGCTTATCTGGTCCGGTGGGTTTTCTTGTGGCGTCCGAGATGGGTTGAACGGGTGGTCCAATATCAGGTCGATAACGGCGCTTGATAATAATAATTTAAAAGGTTTTCTTTTTACCAGTAATGCAGGTTGCCACAGAGCTGCGGGGTAGCTTTCTTTTTATCTTTTTCTCTTCCCGTCTTGATGGTTTGTTATTAACTTTCTGCATTTTCCATTACCCGGCTTATAATTGGGTGTCTCTGATTTTAGTGCAGACCCTGAATCAGACTACCGAGGCACTTGACACCTGTAGAATTGCCACTAATTGACAGCCTGCTCTACAATGGTGTAAACCACCATATCGTCAGCTTTCTTATTCTTAGCCATTCTGGGGAATTCGTTTACTAGATGAGCAACAAGCCATAATGCACACCAAACCACCCACCACTGCACATCATCTGCAGCCGCCGACCTCAGCCCAGCCGTTGGTGGGACGTTGGCGCGTACCCCCAAGGTACCACCTATGGCGGCTACCAGCAGCTCGTGCAACAAGTACCAGTTTCCAGTCAGAAAAGAAAAAGGAAAAACATGTGCGAATCGGACACTGCAGTGGCATTTAATCCAACTAAACGCGTTTGCGTTACTTCGGAAGCTGGCATACGGAGAAGCATGGAGGTGAGATGATTTCAAGTCGGTACATGTACATGAATGTACATATGTACATAAGGTACCTGTACCAGTTGCATTTAAGGTTGGCCCACCAGACTACTGAGGCTGGCCCAGAGCCACGCGATACACGACGGATTTTTCAGCGCCTCGCCACACCAAATTCGCGCTGGGGCTGCGCTGCAACGCTGCACCCCAGAGGCTTGGCTTTCTGTATAATATTGGTTCATAATAAGACTCCGACCTCAATGCATTTGCAATGACATGTTGAACATCAACGACATAAATAACCCAATCAAAAAAAAAAAAAAAAAAAAAAAAAAAAAAACAGAAATCACCAAATTATCAGTCATTAATTTCCCGTGGCTCACTTACACTCGGCGACTGCCCAATTTCCAACTTGACCCCACAGCCACCGCCTCGTCCACCACAGACAGGACAGCCAGCGTCACTTCCCGAACTCCTCGCATCAGCATGTTACCTATATGTACAAGGGCTCCTTGCATCCTACCTACATACAATCACCCCAGCGGCAAGCCTCTGGAGAGCTGACTCCATACCAGTACCCCATTCTCTTATCCTTGGCGCTCGATTCCCTTGCCATGCTCATTAGCCAGTCCCACTCGATCGGCCTGCCATCTTTCCAATGGACCTCCTTCCTCTTCCAAGCACATCAATCCCCAGCTCGAGCGCCAGCAAGCAAGCCAAGACTTGTACGAGGCTACATCATTTCCCTCGGCCTCAGCCATCTCTTTCCTTGATAACACTCCCGCTGTCAGCGCCGCCCCCTGTACCTCTTGTCCCATCTCCTGCCCTTGCCTCGGGCAAAACACCCTACAAGCCCTAGTGGAAGTCGGCGCTTTCCGACATCTCTCCAGATAGGCTTCGCCCGAAATCACTATCCAAACAAGTCATCTGCATTGTTCTGCTTGGCGATGTTGTCGTCTAGGCAGGATTGGGTACAATGACTAGACGCACCCCTCCCAGCGTCCAGACGGATATGCATCAGACACGCACCCAGGCACGCACCCAGACACAGATCCATGATTAAAAATGACGCGAGAAGGCACTGGCCCTTAACGATTCTTCTCGCAGGCGCCCTTGTCTCCGGATTAAACATACTTTGTAACGGCGAGGTAACACAGAACCCCGCATCCGGCCCCTGCAATTGCCCGATGCTACAACACCCGTATATTACAGGTCTCGGCGGCTTGCATAATTGCATGCCACAATCATTCACCTACTTTTTTCCGTAAGTAGTCACCGACCAGTACGAGCGTCCTTTTCGTAATGAGTGCCAGCGTCATCGTCATGGCGCTGTTAGCCAGATGCCGAGGCGACTATCCAGAACCGGACACCTGCTTGCGCACCGTTGGCAGATTTTTCACCAATCGACATCTTTCCGCGTCAGAACACGTATGAATACGTACCTAAAAATGAATCACCTCTACGCCCTTGTTACAACACGAACTAGGTAAGTACAGACATCCTGCGCCACAATTGCCCACTCGCCCTTGGCAGCCAACAGGGTCCCCAGGTTTGCCCATCTTCCCCATCTTCTCCGATCGATTAGGTTCAAGATGCACTCCGTACCTCGACCTTGTTCTCGCTTCACTTGCGCTGGTCACTTTGGCAATCAATTCACATCAGTACTATCAAATGTTCTCTTCCCACTTGGAGCCTCGCGACCTCGACCAACTTGAGTAGTCATGTGGCACTGTCAGCAAGCAAGACATAGACCCAAGCTTTCTCTGTGCTCGCGCCCATTCATCATGACCAGGCGCCATCCCTTACAAGTATTCCCGTATGAGGATGCGCCGACCAGGCGGCTCACGCAAACACCAAACAGTCTGAGTCGGCCCGCACCTCGGCTTACCCTATAGTCGCCATCCGGTCCTTGGTTTCAAGCCTCTGTACATCGCCAAACGGTCTTGGCATCACTTGCTGGCCTCGATCGAAGCTTCTTGGGCGGAACACGTGCCTGGCAGACGATTTTTGTGATATTCTTGTACAATCTGATATACGTTGGAGGTGGACCACTGGTTAAGCTGAGGCTATTCTCATCCAGCACAGCCCCTCAGCGGCCCCAGGCAGTTTAGCCTAACTGGTACCTGGCAGCAAACGGCCGCCCAGACAAACGAACGAACGACGACTACCCAAACTTATCGTTTCCCTGACCAAACGGCTAAACCTGACGCTGTCACTCTCCCAACGCCTCTTTCCCATCATGCATCACATCGCACAAGATATCGTCCTTGATATTCCATCCTAGCTTCTCGCACCCTCTTCACGCTTCGGCATCGCCTGTTCCTTGACGTCAGCCGACATTGCCCGCCTGGCCCGACCCAGACACGCTGCTGCACCGCCATTGGCCGCCATGACGTCAGGTGGACAACGCCTCTCCCCAGCTTGGCCAGGCAGAGGCAAAGACGGGACGGCTCGCACAGCAGGGGGACAATAGCGACAGCAGGGACCGAGCACAAAGCACACCAGCGAAAACCCTGGACCTTGCCTTGCACCGCCCACCGCCTGATGCGCCCTGCACACCTGGGCTGTTGACCTGATTCTGGGCTGCCTCCTCATGCATGCGCGCGCCTGCGATCGCCCCCTTTCGGAATAATAATTCGAGACGAGGCAAAAAAAAAAAAAAAGAAGCACAAAGAAAATCTTTCGGAGGGGCAAGGCTGGCGTATATCTACCAGCTGCTCTCCCTCCCGCCCGCAGATCGCCCCTCGTTCCTGGTCCTGATCAGCCAACCAACCAACCTATAAAATACCAAGCAGCAAAAAAACGCACGCACAACAACAGCTACTCTACATCGCCAACCTCAACATATTTATTCCGCCATGGCGTACTCGTCTCGCCGTCGCGACGACCACTACCCACAGGACGACTTTTACGGTCCCAACCCGTCCTACTGGCAAGACGCTGCTGGTGGGCCTCCCCCACGCCGCAGCAAGTCAGAACGCCAACCCGCCCGGGCCATGCCAGATGATAGAGGCGCATCCCGCCGGCACCGCGACGACGACGCGGCCCGTGGCTACTCTCACAGACAGGGCGACGGGCGCGGCGCCCCGCCGCCATACCGCTCCGACGACCGGCGGAGTGGGGACCCGCGCCGCGATCCTAGAGACTCGAGAGACCACAGAGACCACAGAGACTCAAGAGATCACAGAGACTCGAGAGACCACAGAGACCCAAGGGACACCAGAGACCATAGGGGCTCGAGAGACCCAAGAGACTCGCGCGACAACAGAAACACAAAAGATGTGAGGGATACACGTGCCGCGCGCCACGAACGTGACTACCCGACCCGTGGTGAGCGTCACGCCGATGACACCCACCGCCACCAGCGCAGCAAGACGGCAGAGGACCCTGGAAGATACAGCCGACCGTCCCAGGATCACAGGAGCAGGGACTACCACGCCCGCGATGACCGAGACCGAGACCGGCGCGGGGGTTATGATGACAGTGGCCGCGATCGCCACGGTGGCCAGAGCTCACGCTCGCACGGCCAGGACAAGTATTCCTCCGGCAAAGTCGTTGCCGCTCCTGATCCTCCCCGCGGCCGCGACAAGAACCCGAGCAGCGGCGGTGCCGCCGCGCGGGGTTTTGGCGCCAAAGTTCGCAGCTCCACCACGCCCGTAGTGAAGACGGCGTCCAACTGGTTCAGCAACCCCCTCGTGCAGGCCGGTGCACGCACCGCGCTGACCGCCGGCGCCACGGCGGCGATGAACAACCGCGGGGCCCAGGGCGACTGGCTCGGCTCCAAGGGTGTCAAAGTCGCCACGGCCGCCCTCAGCGCCGCCTTCATGAACGGCGCCATGAGCGGCGGGACCAAGAAGGATGATCGGGATCGGGACCGTGGGCGGAGCAGCAGCCGAGACCGCGGCCGCGATCGCAGCAGGGGTCGCAGTCAGGACAAGGGCGGGCGCAGCAAGAGCGAGGGCCGCGGAGGAGATATCAGCAGCAAGTTGATGCAGATGGGCATGGATTACATGTCGAAGAGGGCGACACAGGGGAGATGAGCACAGAATGAGCGGGATGTAATGATGATGATGACGACAAAACATTTATGGGTTATGGGATAAGGAGGATATGGGATACTGGCATGGGCAAGGAACAGTTTGGCTTATTTGACATAGCGACAGGAAAGATGGACATGCTTTCGCGGTGCTCTAGAAAGATCTCCAAATCTATAAAATTGCGAAGAAAATATTACATGACCAAAGTTCCACACCAGTGACTTTCATCCTGTGACTGCTTATGTGGGAAGAATTTGGAACTATTTTGACTTTTTACACGATAGGCTTGACATGATATTAAGAGCAACCAAAACTCCCGAAACAGAATCTCGTTCGCATCTCAACGCTCACTGTATGCTACCTGCCAAAACCACTCGGGCGCTTGCTCTCATCTCAACTCCCCTCACGTCCTAGCCACACATCTAGACGCCATCCCACGGCCTGCACAGGCTCGCCGCGCAATACCCGTTACAGCACAACCTCGGCCCCCGGCCTCCCCCATCGCACCGCGCGTAGTTGTCCACGCACACGCCCTCGCAGCTGATCGCGCGCACCGCCGTCGGCGGCTCGATGCGCACCTGCCCCGTGTGTCCGTCCTCGCCGATGACAAACACGTGCTCCGGCGGTGGACCCTGGCCGCCAAAGTCGAGCGCGCACAGCGCGGCGGCGTTGTAGTCGGGCGCGGCGACGCGGGCGACGGCGGAGGTGAGGTCCGGCGAGGGGTGGGGGATGCCGTTGGCGAGGACGGAGAGGTTGTAGAGAGGCTGGAGGGAGGAGGAGAGGAAGGTGAGGTGTGCGGTCTGAGGGGGGTGGCTGGGGGCGGCGGAGGCGAGGAGCGGGAGGATGGCGAGGGCGGTGGACTTCATCTTGACCGACGTTGGTCTTTATTGTGTGTATGTGTGTATGTGTGTATGATGAGTTTTGGTTTCAAGACTCTTCGGAGGAAATGTTCCGGGACATTGTGTTGATCGACGGTCGTCGGATCCGCCAGGCTGTTTATATATGCACCAACGAACAGCAGTCAGACATGACGACAAACCCAATCGACCTTGACAGCGGCAAAGACGGCTGATGTCGAAGAGTGTTGCCTTTGGGGAGGTCGCACTGATGACTTCATCAGGGTCGCATCGCGGACTAGCCAACCCAACCAACCCGTCGGGGGTGCCGATCGCCAAGAGATTGGGCAGCCACGATGATGGAAGAATCGGCAGCGTTGAAACCTGTTTTCTTTTACCTTCCTTTCCTTGTGAACGAAAACACCAGGTTTCCCTGCAATTGAAGGTGCTATCCTGACGTCGTGATGAGCTTCACGTTGGGAGGCAAAGGGGGTCGCTTTCCGTGCTTTCGGACCCTACTCGGTCAGTTATCCTCAAAAGCTTACTTGTCCCAGGCGGGTTCGACAGCATCTGAGGTGTCAGCGTTCGGGTGATGGGCGCAAAGACCACTGTGGTTTGTGATTCAATGCTTGGCGCGAGGCATCTGCCAGGCTGGCCCCCTCCGGACGTGTCGATTTCTCGGGGGGAGTGGTAACGAGGTTGCAAACCTGTTGCTCAATGCGTGGCACAGAGCCAAGGTTAGTAGTCAAAGCCCTCCCGCATATTGCGTTTCCGTGAGTCCGCGCATGCCCGTCAATCACTGATGCCATGTCAGCTACCATCTTGAGACATGGTCCAGCAACTCCCTTTGCTCTTTATAGGCCCATCGCTGCATTCACCAGCGCCGCAGCTCGTAGTGCCCCCCGGCTTGCAGTAGCACCCAGCTTGTCAGTCACTGTGCCAGTGGCCATGTAAATCGTGGTTGGTGATACCGCCACTGCACGCATTGGCCCTGTGAACAAAAGAATATAAGTGTTTTAAGGCTCCTATCACCTTGTAATATACACACGCTCTGTCCCCGACGCGAAAAATGACGATTGATCAAATGGGTTTCTTCTTTTCATCCACAGCCTCCCGCGCCGTTTACTTCCTCTCCGCCTCCAGCTCGCGCTCCGCTTGCTGGTAGTACTTGGCCGTGTCGACGCCGTGCTGGTCGTGGTTGACAAAGTTGAACCACGGCACCGTGGCCATGAACAGGGCCGAGTACCGGCTCTGGCGCGCGGCCACGCCCTGCAGGTACGGGCTCAGTTTCGACTCGCCGTACAGCGGCTGCCCGGCCTTGACCCGGTCGACCATCTCGCGCATGTCCATCTCAATCTCCCGTGAGTTCTCGGTGGCGCCGTAGAATCGCACTGCCAAAAAATGGGTTAGCCTTTTTCTTGTCGTCTCGGATATCGTCGTCGAAAGCTGGTCATCTGTTCGTCACGTACGGGCGGAGCGCTGGTAAAAATAGAGAAACCCGCCGGCGAGACCGACGAAGCCGGCTAGGCGCATGGCCTTGGCGAAGCCGCCGCGACCGACGTGTGAGGGCGCAAACTTCTCCAGTGTGTAGAGAGCGGCCGGGGCGAACGCGGCGGCAAGACCGCCGGCAATGTAGTCCTCCCTGCGGGCATAGCCGACAACGCGCTTAAAGTGACTGCGGTAGCGAGGTAGTGTCAGTAAAGAATCAATTGGCTCCGCGGAACCTCTCTCGTCTAGCAAGGTCGCAATCGTCGGGATCGGGGTACATACGGGTCGTTGTCGATGAGCTACGGGACCGGGTCAGCAAATTTCATCAATTGACGGCATTGAAGCACCTGAAACGTACCGGAAAGTCCGTCTGGACAATCTTGCTCGTGCCGACGTATGAGGCCGGCGCCTGCTTGGTCGTAGTCTCCGACATTGTGTGTGGTGATGCCCAAGACTCTTGCTCAGATTGTCCTGCAGCCAATGAGTGCCATGATGAAGCTCAGCAAAGATGTGCCTCAGGAATGAAGCACGTGACCTGGCGCCTCAAGTTGCACGTGACTCTGTTCGTGTAAATGGATGCCCCGCCATCGCGTCTCCTAACGCGTCCGTTGTATAAGCCGCTGCCACCAGAGAGTCATCTTGGGCGCGGGTGACAAAAAATGCCGGCGGCGACGAAACCTGCGACCAAGCCGGCTGGTAGAAGTCAGCATGATGAATTGGACAATTATGACGTTGACGACTTCTCCGACGACCCGTTCGCAACACCCAGCCCGCCCTCCAAAAACAAGCGTAAAAGTGAGGCTGCTGGGCTAGGCATTGATGAGGAAGTGGATGTAAAAAAGAAAGCCAGACAGCCAACTGTAAAGCTTGACGAAGAAAGGTGTGTTATGATATGGTTTGGCGATACTTGATTGTCTTTCGCTCGTTTGGCTGACAAGTGGTACACTAGACTTTTGAGTGATGCTGGCATTCCAACGTTGCGACGGCGGGCTCAGGGTCTGAAGTTCAAAGGCAAGGGGCACGAGGTATGCTATCCAGTTTGTGTGTTCTTTGTTGAACAAAATCTATTAACGCGTTGAGTCAAGTTTTCCGACATGACGCGGCTTCTTTCATTCTACCAGCGCTGGCTCGACGACCTGTACCCCAAAGCCCGATTCCTCGACGCCCTGGCCATGGTTGAAAAAGCCGGACACAAGAAGCGCCTCGTGGACGCGCGCAAAGCATGGCGCGAGGAAAACGATCCGAATCGCCAGGAAAACAAGGAAGACGATCCGTTTGACCTGGAGGACCGTCCCGACACCACAGCCGTCAGCCTGCCCCAGCGTCCAAGCGCCAGCCGCCTGATCCAAGGCCTCGACGGAGACCAGCCGCCACGACCCAGGACGCCGACGCCGCGCGACCACCCGGACGACTTCGATGAGGAGGATCTGTACGACGTGACGCCGCGGGCGGCGCGCGGGCGGCGACCGGGTCTCACGGCGATGCAGCCGGACGCGCCTGACAATGACGACCTGGATGCGCTGATGGCCGAGGCGGAGGGCCACGACAGCAGGCCGCCGGCGGCCAGGACGACGACAACGGTGCAGCGGCGGCTGCGGGAGGAGGGCGACGGGGATGACTTGGACGACTTGATCGCGGAGGCGGAGGAGCAGGACGCTCGGCCAAAGAGCATTTTCGGCAACCCCACCGCGAGTAAGCCGGCTGAGATGGACTGGGATGATGACGAGGCGGCTCTGCGAGAGATGGAGGGGTTCTGAGCGGATTGGGAATCATGCACTGGCGTTTGGGTGTTTTGTTTATGAATAGCATATGGCAATGTTACGATGATCATGCTGGTGCCTTGCTTGCCTGTGTACATAGAAGCGCCACAGCGCGAGCTGTCTTGTTCTTTGCTGTTGTTTATGTACTATCTGCAGTGTATTCCTTCTTTTCTCGGTTCTTTGTCGTCACACGTGCAATGCCGCCTCTACAACTTCGACCTCGGCACATCCAGCCAGAACGCATCGCCCTCCGCATACACCGTCCCGTTGCCGTCCTCCACGACCGCGCGCAGCCACGCCTTGCGCCCCTCCGTGCGGCGCCGCACCCACGACCTGCACACGTACACGCCCGGCGTCGCCAGCGGCCTCCTGTACCTTACCGTCAGCTCCAGCGTGAACGCGCTATCCCCCTCCGTGCTGAAGAGCTCCGCCACGGAGCCCGTAGCAGCGTCGAGGATGGCGGCGGTGACGCCGCCGTGGGCCACGTCGGGGTGGCCGTTGACGCCGCTGCCGAGCGCAAACAGGCACAGCAGCTCGCCCGCCAGCCGGTCCTCGTCGTCGTCGGGCGGGAGCGCGCGGTACAGGGCGTGCCAGGCGCGGATGGTGTCGGGCGTGTTGAGGGTGCTGGCGAGGAAGGAGTCCTCGTTGGTGAGGGCGCGGTTGCGCGAGCGCCAGGCGGAGGAGACGGGCTGCAGGCTGCGGTCAGCGAGCAGCTGGCGGCACCACAGGGGCGAGGTGCGGGCGCCGAATTCGGATTGGGCGGCGGCGGAGATGGGCGCGGTGGTGATCTTGGGGGTCCGCCGGAACACCATGGTTGCGGTGGGCGGTCGGGTTTCTGGGGTCGGTGGATACTGCTATCTGTGCCTCCCGTGTGAGAGAATGGCGCGGATGGCAACCCACGGCCTCTTAAGATTGGAGGAAGATGATGCAGGTTGAGTTGGTTGACGGTTGATGAACACAGAGTGATGAGTCAGCGCCTTGGACCGCTGTATCTTGACCGCTACAGTGGTCAGAGATAACCTGTCCCAGCTCCACTAGGTTGACCTGTCCGAGCTACATACCTACTGTAGGCTTTATTAGCCCGCATTTTACCTACCGGGGGGGTTTTACCTATACATAGGTACCTATGTATGTAGGTATAACAGGTACTATCCGTACTAACCCTCCTCCTATCCCAAACACCGAATCCTAACCACTAATCCTAACCACCCTAACCACCCTAACCACCCTAACCACCCTAACCACCCTAACCTAACCACTAAAGAATCGATCCAACTTGGTCCCAGGTCTTGAAGGAGGGCGTGGCTGCCGGCGAGGGAGTATTCGCTGGCGCTGGCGAATGGCCCTGGGTTTTGGAACCCGTCAAACGAGCCCGATGCTAGCTTTCCGATAAATGGCTCTCCCGTATCGGACAGCGACGAGATGGAACCGATACTTGGCAAAGTCAGCGTTGCTAGCTCGGCATGCACTCTGGCCCATTGCTTCATTATGTGCTTTTGTGTGTGCTCCTACGTCTCTTAACATCTCTTCGTTGTAGCTAGGAGAAGGGACTTACCGGGAGCACTGTCATGTCAGACTCGACATCTATTTGGGTAATGGCGTAAAAGCCTTCGATGAGCATGACGGGGCGCCAACTGCCGCCGCTCCCGGCGACCCGACAGGCTCATACACATAGACTCTCCGAATGCTGATGGCGGGGAGCCTTGACTGTATGTGTTTCTCATTGTCGCGAGCTCGCATTGCGTAGAGTATTTCATGTCCTCGTCGCTCAAGGTCGGCGGCGCGTCTGGGTGTCGCGGCAGGCGGACGCGGGCAGTGACCAGGCGACCGTCTGAGGCGATGATTTCGAAACAAATCCAGTACTAGCCTGCAGAAAACGGCGTGCTTATGGATACATTCTGTCCCATGACCTGCTTTGCGTGTGAGAGCAGGGCTGGCTTGTTGATGGCATCCAGTGCGGCTTCGAGAGGCGCGCCTTCATGCCATTGTAGTCCCAGCCGTCAAAGGATAGCCATCTAGCACTGGGAAATTTTGGATTATTCCCAGCGGACGACATAATTAGTGGATTTCTAGTTGAAGCGTGTTCCTGTTTTGTGAACTTTTACTCTTCCATATTAAGAGGCAGTAAAAGTGAAAAATGGACACGGCCTTGGCGGGGAGTCACAAAGCTAGGGCTTTCCAAGCCAGCAGACTGCTGGACATGCCTGTGCGAAAAGTTAACCGTTGGGCTATGCATAATGCAGGGGTACTTGTCTACATAATAAGTGCGCACATATAGGACAAGAATGCTGATGTATTATTTAGCTACAGTGGGTGGCAACATGTATTTGTCCCCTCTTAGGTATCTCACCTCTCTGTGGCAGCTTAGGTATGTTAGATATTTTAGATATTCTAGGTATTTTATGTATCTTCGGTATCTCTTATATCTTAGATATTTCACATATTCAAAGCATTTTACATATCTTTAGTATTTCACATGTCTCACATATCTCAACTGTCATAGGAATAGGTCAGATACCTGGAGGGGACCAATACATGTTGCCAATCACTGTAGCTGCGTCCTTGACCTTGCTATTGTCTTGGAATCCTCTTAATCATTATTCTATCCGCTTCTCTTATGCATCCTCGAAGTAGGTATAATTTTGCCATCTTATTCAGTCTACTCAAGACCTACAAAGTCATACCAAGGCGTAGTTTTATGAATGATTCTCTTGCCTTACGAATTCAAGCAGTCAACGATGAACTGATGACCCTGGTCGAAACATGGACGAGTGCTCTGGCCAGCCGCCTGCTTGGAGGACTCGCAACTGCTGAAGAAGTCGTCCGACTTTTGGATGCAGGCCGAGGTGAACTCGAAGCCGCGGTCGTTGGCTCGACGAAGGAGCGCCACGGACAACTGTTTGAATTGTCAGACACATCAACTAAAACTAATGGATGGTCAAAGACGCACGCCGTTGCTCGCAGAAGCAGCAGCGAGACCAGCGCTGCCCAGCGAGAGGATTAGAGTAATGGAAGAGAGCTGCATCTTGCCAGAAGATTGAATGAAAGTCGTCAAGACGAGGTTGGGCTGGGTGGGTAGCTTGGTTGGATAGATGTTGAGATGGTTGCGATGGTTTGTTAGATTTAGGTCAACGTGGTATAGTCTGCTTATTATATACATGGCGGATGCATCTGCGGAAGAATTTGTACAGACGACATCGTCATTTGGCATTCAAGGCTTGGAAGGGTCAGACTGAGTGAAACGACGAGATGAGGCCAAGATCCATGACATGGTCATTGTGCGGCGCCTTGCCATGAATGGGTTGAGTCAAGCTCGTAGCGGACCGAGGGCACATGCATGAGGCTACTCGTGTGCAGGATGGCATAGGACGATAGATCTCTAGTCTTTTTTGGTGGTCCCTGGACGGGGGACTTATAGTCCGTGTTAGAAGATTGCCTTGTTAGAACAGCTGCCGGGGTCTCTTACACCGGCAAACTAGGTGAGCATTTTTATGGTCACCTGGCTGCATAAAATGGTCGGTGAATAAGGAGTACCTTGATGCCATGCCGCCAAGGTCCTCTGCAACCGAGTTACGGAATTGTTAGAAAACCTCGGCGGCGAGGATTTCCTTTTACGCTTCAAGTATTGCATACAAATTCGGCAATTATCAAGGAATTTTCTACCTTCTGTTGCAACCTCTTTGGGGCAGACTAATCGCACCCGGTAGTAGGTCATTAACATAACCGTCTCTCTGACACTAACCGGGTGAAACCTTCCTCGCCAAGAACGTCACGATACCCCCCCCCCCCAAAAAAATACTGAGAAAATAAAAACACTCATAGCAATTTCGAAATAGAAGGACGAATGCTGTGTATATAGCGACATGTTACATTAAGCTGCGCTGCCAGGGTACAGGATACCAAGTACTCACAATACTGGCGGTTACTTGTGGCGGGTTGCTGATCGAGGTCCTGTTTTTCTGCACTTGGCAACGTTGTATCCGTTCCATCACCAACCAATGTAACTTGACCATCATTTTCCCGAGATGGAAGGTCTTTGGCCGTATTACTTCCGAGATGAAGCGGGGAATCCCTGCTTTTCTTGTTTGATTCCACCAGATGCATCGCACCCATACAGCCAGCAAGGAATGTCGGCAGGCTGTTTGTTCTCCTCCAATCGGGACTGCTCTTGTCGGATCGATTACCTATTGATTTATGTTATTGTCGGCAATTGATAATGCGGAGAAGAAAGAGGAGGTGATCTTGAGCTCCTCCCCCGCCCGTGTATCTGGGCGACTGCCAGCTTCGTGGACGAGGGAATCAGCATCCAGTCAAGAAACTATTCGCCGTCTTCATCACCATGCGAACACAAACGCAGATTCTTCTCGCTGCTGGTGTAGCTGCCACCACCCAACCCATCGATGTTCCATTGACCGCATCAAATGCAAATTCGGCCCCCGGCCCGTCCTTCATCAGCTATTCCATTGAGCTGTCGTCGTTTCCCGACTTTGCTGGTGCGCCCCTTTCCGATAGCACAGCACAGCTCAGACCTGACTAACTCTGAATCTTCCCGCAGGCAACACATCCAACCCAAACAGCTTCACCGACAACGTCCTGACCAATATTGGCAACATCATTGGTAGCAAGCCTTATATCCGCGTTGGCGGCAACACCCAAGACTACGCGCTGTTCAATGCCTCGCTCGCCACCCAGATCAACGGCACCTACGACCCCGAGCGGTCCAACGATTACCCGACCACCATCTACATCGGCCCGTCCTTTTTTGAGTCGTACCGGACGCTTCCCGACGTCCGCTTTTCTCACGGCTTCAACCTGGCCAAGAGCGCCGTCTCGGCCGAGGGCTGGCAAACGCTTGTCGACACGGCACCGCTGGCGTGCCGGGCGCTGGGCCGCGACCGCTTCTACGCGTACGAGTATGGCAACGAGCCCAACAACTTCAACCTCGGCGGTCGGTGGGCGCCGCGCAGCACGAGCTGGGGCCCCGAAGACTACGTGCACGAGTGGTTGAACGGCACCGCCGAGATCCGCCGCCAGATGCGCGCGCACTGCCCGGAGCTGGGAGCCGAGTATCTCAACTTCATGGCGCCGTCGTACGATGACAGGGTGTCGTCGCTCAAGGCGGTGGATGTCTGGAACCTGGGAATGAACAAGGACGACAACATCAACACCTTTTCGGTGCACAAGTGGGTGTATCTTGACTTGGTGGATGCTCGCTCTCCTCGGCTGACTTGATAGCTATATTGACGGCGCAACGTCCCCGGGCGTGACTCTGCAGCACACGCTGATGAACCACACCCGGACCACGCGCGACGTGGACGAGCAGCTCCGCCAGTACCGCAAGATCATGGCCACGGGCAAGGGCAATGCACCCCTCATCTTCGGCGAGACCAACTCACTCTACTTCCAGGGCAAGCCCGGCCTGTCCAACTCGTTTGGCGCCGCGCTCTGGGGGCTCGACTACAACATGTACTCTGCCGCCGCAGGCTACCAGCGCGTGCATATGCACCAAGGCACCAACTACCGCGTGAGGCCCCATTTCATCCGAGCCAATACCTCGCCGCTGACACACACACTCGCAGTATCAGAGCTGGCAGCCGATCGACACGCCCAAGGCGGTCAAGGGTACCAAGGCGCCGTACTACGGCAACATCGCCGCCGCCAGCGCGCTCGGCAACCTGACGCGCGGCGACGTCAGCGTCGCTTCGCTGCCGCTCGCGTCCGACGACGAGGCGGCGTACTCCATCTACGAGGGGGGCCATCTGCGACGCGTGCTGGCCATCAACATGCGCGGCTACAACACCACCCAGGACGGCGCGGGCGTCGAGCCGCTCCCCGGTCCGCCGCCGGCACGTCTGCACCGGTCGTACACGTTCCATGTCGGGGATCTGCGGGCGCTGGTCGGGGTACGCCGCCTGATGGCCAACGGCAGCGACGCCATCACGGGCATCACCTTTGACGGCTGGAGCTACAATTACGAGCTGGACAAGGGCAGGCCGGTCAGGCAGCGGAACGTAACAACGGGCGAGAGACTCGCGGTGCGCGGGGGCGTGGTGACGCTGCAGGTTCCGGATTCTTCCGCGGCGATACTGGATATTGAATCTTGACTTTCGCTGCTTGCGGTAATAATGCCAGCTCAGTAGTTGAAGAGTTGTGTGCGCCGTGCAGCTTATAGCATTTTCTCTTGTAACATGGCGATAGCTATGATCCTACCGCGGATTGATCCACCGATCCCGATCGTGAGGTCTTGGCAGGGTCGATCTGGCCGTTGCGGCCCCAGCTTATCGCGGCGAACATTCTTGGCGATCTTGCTTGCATCCGTATCTCTCTCCGTCTCTTTTCCTTCTTTCAATTCACTTATAACGCCGAAGAATCAGCTCGTTTCGGCTCACTTGGACGGAGCGGCCAGTAGAGTCTGCTCATAGCCACGGCCAGCTTTGACCGGTCATCCTGAAGCGCCGTTCAAGACCGCAAGAGATGGCTGAATAGTCGATCGAATCCATTGTTCAGCAACTCTCAACGAGCCATTCTTCACTTTGCTCAACCGAGAGTGTCGCATCGAACTGAAGAGGGATCACCCAAGTTACTACCTACCATTGCACCCCCGGCCATGGCCCCGCGGTGACGCAGCAAGCGGAGCCGGTGGTGGGCATAATGGGTGATATTGGTGGAGAGTATGAGTATTGGAAGCATTGAGGAGGTGCAAGGAGTGATTCGACATTGAATGTTACTGGCCCATTGCTGTCTGAGCTGCTACAACTTGGTCCGACCCCCCGGCGCAGTTACCTAGTCGCGGCCGGCTTCCTTTGACACTGCGGCACGGCCTGGTAGGTGCACAAAGGCTCGTTTCGGGAACCTGCTAACTACTGCGGCATGATGTAATAATCAGGATACATTGCCGCCTGGCGGCGGTTGGATTTGATTGTCGCCTCAACCACGAGATGTAAACAAAGGGCGAGGCGGACAGCAGCCGGTCGTCCGATCCTCACCTGGATGAAACCGAGGTGGATCGCGGGCTGGCGGCGGTACCAACAACCCAGGTTGACTGGTGCTCCCTGATCAACAACCACAAAGGTAGCTGCACCTGTCACCGACGGTCTCTTTTAACTCACCTATTATTTACAGAAGAATTCATGGATGAAAACTAGCATAACAACAGCAGGGAAATAACCAACGCATCGAGGGAGGCCGGAGCACCACGCCGAGTCCGCTCGAACTCATTGGCACCTCTTTGAGTCTAGCCATAACTCTGGCCCCCCTCATCACAGCTCCCATGGCTAGCTTCGCTAATCAACTGACGAGGCGGCCCAAGTTGTAGAACTCGATTCAGCTTTTGTGATATCTGAAGAGAGGCCTTGTTTTTGGAGACGTGATACGCGCCCTCTGTGCACGGCGTCCCGAAGCTCTGTGATTCGCCCTGGCCGGCCAGCCCGAGCGCTCTACCAGGACTCGGCCTGCTGGTCCATCATCGAACCAAGAAGAGCTGCATCCAGGGGTGGGGGATACGGCTAACTCGGCATCGCGGGACCCGCAGCACAGCCATCACGCCGGGCCAGGTACAACGACTTCTCATACAAACTTCCCTATCGACATTGTAACTAGGCGGCTGCCCATTGTGACAATCGCTATACTTGGAACGAAAGCCACAAAGCAAAAAGATTCTGGGAGACAATTGGCGACCCGCTACTCGTGGCTCAGCTCCAGGAACTGACTTCTCATCCGCATACGACGACACCCCCTCCCCCGCTTTCTATTCCGGACTCTTGTTGCGTAATAAAGGACGCGACAGAGAGAAGGACCCTGGCAGAGCTGGATCCAGGGACCCTTTTGGACCACTTCCTCGAGGTGAGGGGTAAAACAGAAGAGGCATGCGTAGACTCTTGGTTGGTCCATAGCTCGGCCTAGCGTAGAAGAAGTCATGAATAAAAGGCGCCTGCCCTGCTCATGAGGGCCAGCTACCTTCTCTTCTCTTTCTCCCCTCTCTCAACTGCAATCTCACGTCCAATTCTTACCAATCCCCATCTCTACACAACATCCATTCACAATGTTCGGTTTCGGTAAGAGCTCACCTACACCGGAGGGTCCATGAACGGCACAGGCTTCCTCTTGCGATAGCAAGGTGTGGACAACTCGAGCAACCGGAAAAGGAGCCGACTCTGACTTCGTGAAACAGGCGACGCCAAGGAAAACTACGACCAGCTCCAGGAGGGCCGCCACGAGTCCAAGTTCTCTCACGAGCTGCTCGCCGGTGGTGCCTCCTTTGCCGCCTTCAAGGCCTTTGAGGACCACCAGCGCTCCGAGGGTATGGATCTCTTTTCTCTTTCTTCTCTTCTCTCTCTCTTCTCTTCTCTCTCTCTTCTCTCTTCTCTCTTCTCTCTTCTCTCTTCTCTCTTCTCTCTCTCTTCTCTTCTATTCTCTTCCTCCTCACTAACAATCATATTCGACAGGCAAGCCCGTCTCGCACGCGTTCGCCAAGGAGCTCCTCGCGGGCTTCGCCGGCGCCGAGGTCGACAAGCTCATGGAGACCAAGGGCGCCGACTGGATCGACCGCGAGCGCGCCCAGCACGAGGCCAAGCAGCGCGCCGAGCAAATGTACGACCAGCACTACGGCGGCCAGGACGAGTACAACCCGGACTACCAGGCGCCCGAGCACTTCCGCTACTAATCTTGCTGGGCGCGTTGGGAAGGGGCTGTGGAAAGTTGAGCTTGACAGCTTCGAAAGCGACAACAAAAGACAGACAAAATAATAAATAAAATGTAAAACTTGATCAATCATAAAGAGAATGCGTCATGTCTTCAACTCAAATGTTAAGCACCCGGACAAGTAAAAGTAAAATGATCAATCATGAAGACGAGTTCTTGCCAAGCTGACCGTTTTAACGTTTAACATGTACGTACAGATGCGAGTTACCGAGACGGGAAATTCCGCAACCACAAACCCATCATCAATGAGTTAACAAACAGACTCAGCATCACACGCACAGCATATTCGCAACTCAGTTAACAAGAAATCACACACACAGCATAGTTGGAACTTGATATCAAGAAAACTGCACGCTTTCGGCGTACAGGGTAAATGAAATTCGTCTGAATCAGAATCAATCATATCGCTGCCTCGTTTTAGTCAGAGGTTCTAGTTTCCCAATTGCGCCTTTGCCCCTTCCCGCCATGTATAAAAACAAGATCATAGAAAAAAAAAGTCCAAATGGTTCAAGCCAAGTGGTAGCGTCTTGCTACCCTTTGCATCCCTCTCCCCCTACGTGCCACCTTTAGTACATATCTCGAGATTGGTTCCTGTTGAGAGGCAGACGCCAGGTCGTCACCTGTCGTGCTGCCGTCCTCGTTCTTGATCCGCCGTGACTCCTTCTCTAGGGCCCACAACAGTGTCAACAATACTTCCTTGGAAGGCAGATCTACGCCGCTTAGACACCGAGTCAGCTCACAAGCTTCGTCGCGCGTACCAGAGGACTCGCGCTGCAAGTTCACGACCTGGTCGTCGCCTCTCTCGGATACCAACCGCAATGCCACCATCGTCGCATCCATCAGAGGACGCGCCAGACTGGGGCTGCTGGAAAGAATCTTACGAAGAGATTTGAGTCTCAGGGTCGTGGACCTGGGCGTCGAGACCTTGGTCCGCAGCGGCATAGTTGCTCGCTGCCATAATGTCGGAGACGACGTGGCCTGCTTCGTCGCTGAGGAAGTCGTTGATGTCGAAAAGTCCATCCGCGAAGCCGGGGGCAGAGTCACCAACCAGATAATCGTCGTCAAAAGCTGTGGATTCGGGAGAAGCGAGAAGTTCGCTTTCAAGGACATAGCGATCTGTATCAGCGGCCGCTGGCATGCTGAAGCCACTGCCGATGCCGAAAGGAGCAGCATCCTGAGCTGTAGAGTCCAGGCCAAAAGAGGCGACATCAGAGTCTGCGAGAGTTGAAACGACTTGGGCACCTCCGCCGACATATGACACTGCAGGTCGGACAACATCGCGGCAGGATGTTGTGTCATGTCGGGAGAGGTGCTTTCAGTCTGTGCCATCAGCTCGGGCTCCGTGTCGGGCTCCTTCTTAGGGCCAAGCTCGGGAGAGAGAGCGACAGGGTCGACGGTGGGGTTGGCGTCCATGAGGATTTCCTTCATGAGATCATCGGCCGACTTGGCGTCGGCGTTGTGACCATCTTGTGAATTGAAAAGCGTAGGAGAAAGAGAAATCTGGTTGTCACGAAGGGAGTCTAGTGACGTAGATGTGCGGGTGACAACACCGGAATCGCGGCGAATTTGATCAAGTTGCTCGGCGAGTACCAGGTTGGCTTTTTGGGCGTTGAGAAGAAGTGCCTCGAGCTCCTGGTTGCGCTTCTCGAGTGCTTCAACTTCGAGCCTCTTGCGTTCACGGGAGGACTGGGCGGCTCGGCGATTACGGAGAACTCGCTCGACGCGGCGCTGCTCCTTTTCGTCATCCGTCTTGGCTCGCTTGCGTGGGGGCAGGTTGGTCTTGGGCTCAGGAAGGACTTGACCCCAGGACTTGCGCTTCTTCGTTGGCCTCTTGTCGTCTGTGGTTTCTTGCTCGTCTTCTTCGGCGACGGGTGATAAGGCATCCGACTTGTCAATGTATGATTGTGGGCTCATCATCTCCATAGGATTTAATGTCGTGTGCTTGTCATCGAGGTTGCTCCCGTCAAAGAGCGATGTGTAGTTGTCGCCAGGGGCCGAGAGTAACGACTCGGCGGGCGAGACTAGTTGGAAGTCTTGAGTGGCCATTGTTGTGATGTTGTGCTGAGGGTGTTGGTTGTTTGCTTGGATTTGAAAAACAAGAGGCAGGTGCAATTCGATGCAGTGACCACTTTTTGAAAGATGGAGCAAGAGGTTGTATCGGGATGAAAGCACAAGGCAGAGGAGAAAGTTGATTGTCAGATGTGGCTGCCTACTGGCGGTGCATATCAGGCAGTCACAATAAAGAGTGACTCAACTGAGGGCTAGGCAATATTCGGCGGTGGTTACTCAGTGGTGGGATGATGAGGGTGCAGTGGGACGCGTGGAGGACAAGTGTTCGAAGGTCATTGCCTCTTGAGCGCCCCGTAAAATTTAAGAAAGCGAGCCCGTGATCGAGGGATGGGAAGTTGGGTGAGGCAAACTGGAGGTGGATGCGGCGCCTCTTTATCATTGAGGACACGGTGGTTGTTTCCAAGGGCGGATACCTTGGTGCCTGAGGCAGAAAGGGGCTCCAAGGCAGTCAACCCACCCACCCAATGCCGCCTGGGCTGAATCCACAGGGAAGTGGCCTGCCCTTCTTGGACTCCCCCCTCCTCCTTGACTCCCCTTGACTGCCCTTGACTCCTGCAAACGAACTTTCGAAAGGGGGCCATCAGGCGAGACACCACTTTGCGTTTGGCGCTACCACAACTTTTCACGATGCGACCAAGCACCAAGCACCAAGCTCCAAGCTCCCACAGCCTCCGGATCCTCCGTCCTTGCCCACAAGCCTCCATCCAGCAACCTCCGGCCCCGCCAGTAAGCACCAGCCTGCCTACGGTGTGGATGAGGCTCTCCAGCCTCGCCACTGAACAGACTGAACAGAGTTTCTCTCCGCCAAGTTATTATGCTTCGGCACCATCATGAGCATCAAGCATCAACAAGTCCTGCAAAGTGCCTTTGGCGCCATCAATGGCATGGAACCTACAAAAATCCCCCGCAGCCTCCCTAAAGTTGTCGCCATGAATAATAGAGCAAGGCATCAATGGGGCAGCCACAAGTGCCTACCTACCTGAAAGAGGCTGAATAAATCGACTCCAAGCGCCGAGCCTGTCTCTCGGTTCTTGGCCTTCCTCTTTTGGAAGGTAACCTGATCTCTGTTGGACACTCGATTAACCATGACAACTCTCGTTGCATCAAGTTTACAAGGTCCCTGACATTCCGAATTAAGCATTACGAATTCATGTGCGATGCAAGCAAACCACTTGCCCCAATAATAAGTTGATGGCATCGAAGCAACCCGAGGACGCATGCACCACTACCACTGCCACTGAGGGCTGAGCGCTTGGCAATCGGTCCTAGCGTCGTCCAAACTTTGTTCTGTGTGGCGAAGATCCATCCCCCTTGCCATGGCCCGTCTTGAGTCCAGACACCTCACCCCATGCCACATAAAAAGCAAGCTACAGCAAAGGGGCAGGGGCAAGCACCGTGGACCGTGCCAAAGCGCACTCGGTTTCCACACTCAGATGCTCAGCAATTCCGCTGTCTCGCTCTGCCGCATCACAACACATACCAGTATTGTCTCTGCTCGTCTATCGCCCAGGCTGCAGCTTCAGCTCCGCCCAGGCAGCCTCGCAAGTCTCGGCCCAGCTCAGCACTTATAATTCTTTGTTTGCCGGAATTCAACAAACAGGGGAGACTGTATTGTCAGGCTCGCTCAGAGCTCATTCAGGAAGTACTGAGTAACCTGCACTGGATCGCGACCATCCTAGCTAGGGCAAGAGAGCCGATCATCCTGCCCCCATCGCAAAGGCTAACCAGCCACTGCTCTAACGAATTCGCTAGCGAACCTCCCGCTGTGATGAGATAGTATTAGCTACACCCCAGGGCTACATTCAGGGCGAGCCAGGCAGAGCCAGGCACAAATCGCGTAGCAAGGACATGACTATCACATCCTACCCAGAGCAGAGCCTCGCTTATTATTGGCCCAGCTTTCAGAAGGAGTATCGGCTCTACCAGTCATATGTCCAGTCATATGTATCCACGGAGGAATAAAGTCTAAAGGCATCCACATCGTTCAGGATCCGGAACACACCAGACCAGAACACCGTACCTACCGGAAAATTGGTTCCAAGGCCAAAAGAGAGATTGCTAATAATACCACACATTACGAGTTTGGCCGTGTGTACGAATAAGCTTGCCACAAACATGCTCCATGGCGTATAGCGTGGGGTAGTCTTGAGATGCCCGCCAGCTCGCGCTCCATGCCATGGAGGGCCTCAGGTTTTAGTGTTTCGTTTCTGTTCCCAGAGGTTCCATTTTGTTAAGATGGCGACGAATGGAAAAGCCAGGCCTTGGGAACCACTGGCGCACAATTCGTAATGGCGTAATTTTGCCACTGAGGCTAATGGCGTATAGTTACGAAGTATCCGTACAGTCACTGTCGAGATCTGCTGGAAGATGATGCCATCCGGCGGCGAGCCCAGGCTCCCTTGCTTGGGCCTGACTTGTCAATACCCCCCTGAAACAGAAAAGAGAGGAAAACACCAATGTTTCGGATAGGGGTCGGCGCCGGCCCGCCCGCCACCATTCCTGCGGCCCTGTTTCAGACAGGCTTTGCCGCACTGCCCTATGCCTAGAACGCGCGTCTGGAATGGCCATCTCTGCTTCACCTTGACAAGGACAATGGCAAGGGATGAAGAACTGCTCATGCGGCTTGGCTACATGGACGCAGCATTGAATCAGTCGCAGCATCTCCCATCTCCTGCACCGTAACCGTCGCGGACACCCCGATCTGCCAAGCTGGCAAATACATCAGTACTGATTGCGCATGTTTTGAGCTGGTTCTTTCAAGATGATGTGCATTTCAAAATGTTGCCTGATTTCAAGTAAAGTATACATATGTTCGGGCATGCCGCGCCAGACCAAGCCCACTGCCGGCACCCTCAGGCGTCAATTTTAAAGGTCTGTTAGTTATCACGTCGCCATTATTGACCAGGAGGCCTGATTTTGCAGAGTCGATTTTGTACTCAGTTTGTAGTTTGTAGAGTCGCGATTCTACTAGTGGGTACAGGTAGTTTTGCAGCGGCTGGGTGACCAGCGATGAGAGTAATAAAGGTATTAATAGCGATAATAGCGAAGATGGTGATAATCAGTTAATTTCTTCTTCTTTATTACCCTTATGTCCTAGTGCCTAATTCTCTTACCTACCTATTTGTGGTACTCTTGGTTCTGCCTTAGGTTTCCTAATTTTCCTATTTCCCCTGTCCTTCTTATCCTTCTTATCCTCTTATTATCC